TTAATTTTTTACTATGACCTTCCCCTGTTGAATGTGTGACGAGAATAATGAAACGATGATGATAATGATGACGATGATGAAAACGATGCTGCTGCTGCTGCTGCTGCTGCTGCTACTGCTGATGATAACGACGACGATACTGGTATTATAGCTGGTATAAAAATTAATGGCGACAGCTAGCAAGGTGCAGCTATAAAAGAATGAATGAATGATAGAATGAATGAATAAATAGATGAATAAATGAGTAAATAAATGAAGGAATTATGATTGAGAAGAATGAACGATGAAGCATTAATAGTTTGTTTCATGAGGTCGCAAAATTTTAGCTCACTCGCTATTAGGAAACGAAACTAATACTCGATGACAAGAATGATGATGATGACAAAAATGATGATGATGACGATAATGATGATCCAAATGGGGATGATGATGACGACGACGACGATGAAGTTAACATCAATTGAGAGTTACACATCTGAACAGATGACCTTCCCCTGTTGAATGTGTGACGAGAATAATGAAACGATGATGAAGACGATGCTACTACTGATGATAACGACGATGATGATGATGATGATAATGATGGTAAGGATGATAACAATGATGATGATGATGATAAAAAATGAGTCGAACGGAATAAATGGATTAAGAGAAAAAATCTGTTGTCAGGTTGTTTAATTACCGAATCTTCCTTTCTCTCCTTTGTTTTATTAATTATTTGAATTTTTAAAATTTTTATTGTGAAATGTATTTGAAAACATATCGTGTAGGTATTTGTGTGTGTGCGTGCGTGCGTGCGAGTGCGTGATTGTGTGTGTGAGTGAGTGTGTGTGCAATTTTATTCCACGATCTGAATAATTAATTAGCAACTGTTTCCTGTAACCTCCATTATATAACCTGCTGTGATTAATCTCAATTTTAAAGTAACTTCAAATTATTTCCCTATGGCTAGATGTTCGAATGTATGAAACACACACATACACACACAGACACATACACACACACACACAGACACATACACACACACACACAGACACACACAGACACACACTCGCGTGATCTTCGTGTTTAGCCGCTCTCACAAGGAACAGCGTTCTGGACATCTATCTGACTGATAATAAATTGACAAATTCCTTCAAATGTTTCAATTCTTGGTGTGGTGGTGGTTGTTCCACCGTTGAACAGTTTTTCACCATGAATGCCAGTTTAAACTGAATCAATCTTTAGTATTAATATAAAGTATTGATATATGAATATTAATGATGAGGGATTAACTGTATCAATTTTTAGTATTAATATAAAGTTTTGATATATGAATATTAATGATGAGAGATTAACTGTATCAATCTTTAGTATTAATATAAAGTATTGATATATGAATATTAATGATGAGGGATTAACTGTATCAATTTTTAGTATTAATATAAAGTTTTGATATATGAATATTAATGATGAGAGATTAACTGTATCAATCTTTAGTATTAATATAAAGTATTGATATATGAATATTAATGATGAGAGATTAACTGTATCAATCTTTAGTATTAATATAAAGTATTGATATATGAATATTAATGATGAGAGATTAACTGTATCAATCTTTAGTATTAATATAAAGTATTGATATATGAATATTAATGATGAGAGATTAACTGTATCAATCTTTAGTATTAATATAAAGTATTGATATATGAATATTAATGATGAGAGATTAACTGTATCAATCTTTAGTATTAATATAAAGTATTGATATATGAATATTAATGATGAGAGATTAACTGTATCAATCTTTAGTATTAATATAAAGTATTGATATATGAATATTAATGATGAGAGATTAACTGTATCAATCTTTAGTATTAATATAAAGTATTGATATATGAATATTAATGATGAGAGATTAACTGTATCAATCTTTAGTATTAATATAAAGTATTGATATATGAATATTAATGATGAGAGATTAACTGTATCAATCTTTAGTATTAATATAAAGTATTGATATATGAATATTAATGATGAGGGATTAACTGAATCAATTTTTAGTATTAATATATTAATATATAGTATTGGTATATTAATATTAATGATGAGAGATTAGTAAGAATATTTAATTATGTCAGACCAGATGATACCTAATCATACTTTAAGTGGCCATAACATCGTGCTACGTTGAAAGTGATGGCAGTGATGATGACGACGATGATGATAAAACCAGTCTCTCTCTCTCTCTCTCTTTCTCTTTTCTTATTTTCTCTTTTTTTTTTATTTCTTTTCATCTTTTTTTTCTTCCATCTTTCTCCTTTTATTTTTTTTTTTAGTTTTTCACCTTCCGTCACTCTCTCCTTTCTTTTTCTCCTCTCTTTATCTCTCCCTCCTCACCTTTTTTTGATCTTCCTCTTTCTCTCTTTCTTTTTTAGTTCCTCCTTTACTCCATATTTTGTTATTTTTTCATAATCTAAGATTTAATTAAGGTTTATTAGTTTGAAACAGACAAAATTTTCAACAACAAAAATTGTCGAAAGACAACTTTTTTTATATCTAAACGATGCTACATCCGCGTAAACGTTAATTTATGTGCCCACCACCTGGTTTAGAAGGGGTAGCCTATGGTGGGGGCATAAGGACTGCACACCACCCCATCAGCAATTTGACAATTTCTGATTTATATTTTAAAGTTTTTTAATCAAAACACACTCACACGCACGCACACACACACACATACAATCACACCCACACACACGAATACACAAACACACACCTGTACAATGTTCGTGTTGTAAAGAATTTGAGCCTAAAAATATGCTGATCATAATAAATTCTAATAAATTTTATTTGTCGTTTTATTTTTTCTTCTTTTATTTTATTTTTAACTTTCTCGAAAAATTTTTCAAATAAATTTGTTTATTTTTCATTATCAAAATTATGATGATAAACGCATTAGACATTTACAAACAAACACACACACACACACGCATGTATATATTATATATATACAGAGAAACAATTTTTATAATTTTTGAAATGGAGAAACAGTATAAACCATTTGAAAATTCATTTGAAAGTTAGAAACGGAATGGTAAAAAATTTAGAAGAACATGCCGTGGCGGAGATACATTTAAAAGCACATTAGACGTAATATTGAAACTGTCATTAGTATTGTGGATCTGATTGAAAGTAATAATTTTATTACTATTAACTGAGTAATCTTTTTTTCAAAAACATCAACCGCAAACACACATTGTTAGCAGTTTGAATGCACGTTAATTTACACTTAGGAAAGATGGGTTACAACAGGCTATAACGGGGATCTTTTCTCGTTCGAACTCGGTTACTGCAACAACAGTGCCAAGCACCTTAAGCATTACGCCACAATCCCAAAATAATTAATTCTGGTTTGAAATTATGTTCATATCATAATTAGGTATAATTATTCAGTGCTCTAACTCGTCTGGTGCAGTGAAAGAAAAGGCAGATGAGATGGATATTTCTTGTATGATTGACCGAACAACGTGGGTGTCAACTTTGAACGTTGCATAATAATATTTCATTCAACCAGAGTTTTTATCGTTGTGTTGTGGTGTGTGTGTGGTGTGTGTGTGGTGTGGTGTAGCGTGTGTGTGTGGTGTAGCGTGTGTGTGGTGTTGATATGAGTGGATGGACTGTCATGTCAAACACAGGTCAACCGCCTTCTCCTTGCAAATTATTCATTCCAATTTTTTCCCTTCTAACTTAATTAAATTTTCTTATTTTCTCTGCGTCTCTCACGAATATCTTTTTATGTTTCATCTAACAAAATTTTTCAGTATTTTTTATTTAAAAACTTAAATTTATTTTCAATTTTTTGTGGGAAAATAATTTTGAGTTAAACGTAAATGGCACAATGTCATTAGTCTTCTGGTGCTTGTTGTAGAAGTTGAACTTGTGACAGCATATCTTATCATGTAAAGCAGTGGCGGGCAAACTAGCATGCGGCCCGCGAGGCTACTTTTATATGCGGCCCGCGAGGTCTTGTTTGCCAAAAAAAAAGTCGTCAGCCGGACATTATAACCAAAAAAATGGAGCCACAAACTTTAAAAAAATTATTCTCTCCAGGTCGAAAAAATTTGCTGTATAAGTAATTATGCGGCCCTTCAAAGGTAAAATAGTTCTCAATGCGGCCCTCACAGCAAAAAAGTTCGCCTACCCCTGATGTAAAATATTTAACAAATAAAAAATATTGTGTTTTTGTACTTTTACATTGAATTTTTTATCTTATTTAAGAAAAGTACATGTACATAAATTTTTTATTTTTCCCATTAAATTTTCAACAGCCTTAGACTAAATTTTTTATCCTGTTCCTACCTGTTTTACGTCGTCTTCGCATGGCTTCTCAACCACCTGAAATAAAAAATAAAAGGCAAATTTTTTAACTTCTGCCTTTGCGACTTTTTTCATTTGTACCTTTTTAATCCAATGTTGTTGTTTTTATATAATATAATGTCTAGTTTTGGTGAATTAATTTCTCATTGTTTTTATTACAAAATATGAATAAATTCATTTATTTCTTTTTTTTATGTCAGGAAACTGTTTGGAACTACAAACCTGACTGCAAAATTACACATGATTAACATTGATTAGACTTTCCATAGTCTACTAATTGGACTTTTACGTTATTCATTAAACATCAAATTATTTATCCATTCATCTGTTTTGTTATTTTTGTTATAAAATCGTGTGTGTGTATGTGTACGTGTGTTATGTGTGTTGTGTGTGTGTGTGTATGTGTTAAATATTTTCATTTATCAACTAATTTATATCTTTCTTCGTTTATTTCTTATTCATTCATTCATCGGTTCGTATGTTCATTCATTCATTCGTTCATTCATTTATTCAGTCAATCATTCATTCTGTCAGTCAGTCATCTATTAATTCATTTCATTTTCATTCATTCATCCCTCCATTCATAGCAACTCCATCATTATTTATAATCTCTGTATTCTCATTAAAATGACCACCCAACCAGGACTCCAATACTGCGAACCCACGCAAACGTGCTCATCATCAACCTCGCTCTCTGTGACCTCATTTTCTCATCTCTCATTGGCTTCCCAATGACCGCGTTGTCCTGCTTCAAACGTCATTGGATCTGGGGCGATCTAGGTCAGGTCATGCGATGCGATGATTATTGTAATAAGATAAAGATCATGGTTTTATTATCATATAATCATACTGATGGCACTTTCAATACGATGATGGTGAACAGAGATTTGAATGATGGCGACGACGATGATGGCCTAAATAAATTATGCGATAAATTTACAAGGCAGTAACAAAACGATGCTAAATGTTGATGGTGTGTGGTATGTTTGTACATGTTGCGAGATCACGACGATTACAATAATGATGATGATGATGATAATACATGATTAGTAATAACTATGATGTCATTCACATCATTATCATCATCATCGTCTTCGTCGTCATCTCATCATCATCATCATCGATCCTAATATGATTATCTCACTCATTATTTAAAAATGATAATGATAGTGATGACATGACGATGATGACCACCAGTTATAGTAATAATGTTCATAATAATATTTGAAAATGGTATTTTGATAAACATCATCTTTGGAACTGTAGCATGGTAGTGACAGATGACGACCATGATGATTATGACGTCATCATTAGAAATTATTACGTCGGTGACATTGTGATGTAATCGTCGAGAATTGTGACAGTTACTATGAGAATTATGGGAGTGTTCAGAGTGAAAAATTTGCAAAATGAAACATGAAAAACCCAACTAATGCAAAATTTAATGAAAATTAATTTGCGTGCGAAGTTCGGATGAAAATAAATATGAAATTTTTAATGCTAAATTTTGGTTCCTTTCTCTCTCTCTCTCTCCCTCTCTCTCTCTCTCTCTCTCTTCCTTTTCTTCTTCTCAGCTCTATAACTCTATATATAATACATAGCAGAACTATACGTGAACTGCTTGTTGGTTGCTATGTGGTGTGGTGTTGGTTTAGTGTGGTATAGCTATGGTTCATTGGTGATATATTGATTTTAAATAAAATATTTCTAAAATCATGTTTATTTTTAAATTGTGCAAAATAGTACTAAACCAAATTTTTAAAATTTTAACTGAATTAAATTTTATTTTTAAATTTGTAGAAAAAAATTTTTACTGCTATTTTTAAAGTTTGAATGTTTCAGATGAAAAAATGTCCACCCCATCATAAAAGCTGGGATTATTTTCCGACGAGAAGCTCTTGTTAAAATAAATTACTCCCTGACACATCAATTTTTAAAAAGTAGTTGTAAAAAAACGTTTCAAAGTAAAATGCGTTTAACCCAATTTTGAAAACTTGTTTCACTCGAATAATGTGAAAAACGAGTCAAAAACAATTTTCAAAACCATCCTCACGGGCTTGGTTATTATATTTCAATATCTGGCACCGACATCAACGTCAACATTTCTGTATCCACCAACGTCACCAACTAAACTCCTCGTAAATATTATTATCATAGACAATCACGTAATTGCCATTATCACTTCATATCTTTCTTTCAACTAAAATAAATTAACATCTGAAGTTTAAAATGTTATAACCTGGGCAATATGGTCGTCACTATTATCATCATCATCATCATCATCATCATCATCGCAACCACCGCAATCATTATCATCAGGAACACTTACATCCTTTATGACGTCATCATCAACGTTTTCTTGCATTTACGATTTGCGACTAAGAAAAATACGTCATTTTAGAAATTGTTGAAACAAATGATTTAAATTTTCAGACAAAATTTGTAACTCTACATGCAGGATGCGATTTCTATGGATTTGTGGCTGGATGGACTGGTCTCGGCTCCATAACATGTCTGGCGTTTATATCGATTGACCGCTATATGGCTATAGTACATCCCTTCTATATGCTCAACAAAAAGTCATCGTCAGTACTTACATTGCTACAAATTGGAGCCGTGTGGAGTTGGGCTTTGATTTGGTCGGTAATGCCGCTATTCGGTTGGGGTCGATTCATTCCGGAAGCTTTTGGAGTGAGCTGCACGTTCGATTACTTGACGAGAACTTGGTCGAATATTTGTTTCAATTACGTCTTAATTACCTGCGGATTTTTTTTACCGGTTGTGATAATAGTTACGAGTTACATCGGTATCGTCATCGAGGTTACGAAATCGAGTCGGAAGAGAAGAGTAGTGATGGGAGAGCATGGTGAATTTGGTAGCGGTAGAGGAAGATGGAATGAAGGATCATATGGATGCTCAAAACGCACGTTGTTATGTTTTTGTTGCTGTGCTGTCAATGGTTCGCTGTCGTTAATGCCTATGTAATCTTTATAATGTTATAGATATTATTGTTGTTGTTTTTGTTGTTTATATTGCTGTTTTTTATGTCCTTTTTTAATGCAGTATTGTTGTTGACATTTTTATTGATATTATCCTGAAGTGTTTTTATTTTAAATTACAAATGATCATTGAAATATTAGAAGACTGAATTTATTTCATTCAACACCATCTCGTGTCAACAACGTTTCAGCGGTGATATCAGTTTTTTGAAGTTTTACAATTTTGCGAGGATATTTTTCATGAAAATAAATGAATAAATTTTTAATTAAATTTTAAATAAAGCACTTTAAAAACACTATCAGGAATCGAGAAGTAGTCAACGCTCAGTCGAATGAAATATTTATGTTGAAATCAAGAAACAACGAAATTATAAACCACAATTGCACAAGCATCCTCTACAACAACGACCACTGCATTACATACAGCAACGACAGACGCGACAGTAGCTCGGTAACAACACCGACAACAAAACCTCGATTCCCTCATTACGGCAACGCCAGACAACCGGGCAGTCGTACACGCCAAGAGTTGAAAACCGCCAAAGTACTTGCTTGTTGCTTCGGTGCATTCCTAATTTGCTGGACTCCTTACGCCATTGTCGCTCAACTCGGTATCAACGGTTTCGCACATCTCGTCACGCCATTCACTTCGGAAGTCCCCGTCTTGTTCGCCAAAACATCTTCGATTTGGAATCCTCTCATATACGCCCTCAGTCACCCACGCTACAGACGTGCCGTCGTTTTGGAAGTTTCGAATTTTCGAAAGTGGTTTCATCGTTTCATCGTTCGTCAGTTCCTCTGCTGCTACTGTCGTGCTGCCGACCAAGAGACGTGGAGTAGGAGGAGTGATGTTGGTGAGTAGTTAGGCTGGCAATTTCGTGTCGACTGACATGCTTGAAAGATAAAGGAATAAAAACTCAAGTTTTCCAGAAAGCGAGATACATCATTATTACTTTACTTCCCGATTGAACTATTCACCTGAATTTTTGTTAATATGAGCAGTTTTTAAACGCTTGTTTGACTTACACACGTAGATAATGAAGAGATGAATGAATGAACCAGGGACAAATATAAAAAATTCTTAATCATATGTTTTCATACAAAGAGTGTTAACTTGTTGACATTGCTAAAGAAAGTTCAAACAAATAGTTGCCACATCAAACAACAACAACAACACACGTTTAGACGGCATTTTCCCCGAGATCGGGGGTTGCCGTTTGGCTACCTATGATGAAACCAAAATACCCGAATAGTTGCCACATCAAGCATGCTTATTCAATTCATCCACACATGTAAAGTACAACTTTCAACTCTATTCAATCATGCCAACACGCTGAGTCTTAAATAAATAAGCAGGAAGAAAATGCAAAAATCTTGTCAAAACTGGACAGCATATCAATTTACAAGACAGTTCAATGTTTGTTTGTATGCAATTTTAAGCTTTTAAATTTATTTATTTATTTCATTCATTTTTAGGTTTTAATTATTTTTAATTTCCGAGATGGAAAGAAAATTTGTACTTATATAAATTGGAGAGATAAGTGAAAGGTAGAGAGGAGAGGCAAATGACGATGCAGATGAAGTACGTACAACCGTCTAGGCCTCAGTTCCTGTAGGGTTGTCGTAGATGTACGGCATGTTCCTGGTCATTTTTGAGTTAGGTTTTATAAAAATGAACAGAAAAACATGATTAGCGTGTAGAAATTTTAAGAATTTAATGAAAGCAAAAAATATGCAAGGCAATGGCATTAGCAGACAAATTACAGTTAAAATTTACACACACACGCGTACTGTAATTAACTGTATATATATATATATATATATATTGTACCGTACTTGTCATGGTACATTACTAATTTTATTATTATTATTATTATTAACCGACTTTAAATATATTTTTTACTCTCAAGCACTTGTTGATCAAAGAGCATGAGAGGATCGTACATTATATTTTACATCTCATCTACTTACACTCTGATATATAAATAATAATTCTCGACTGATTTCATTTGGATTTTATCTTTTTGGTCACTAAAAGAATGTTCCCATTATGGAAAAAAAACATGGAAGACAATTTTGCGTGCATATTCTGAATTCATAGTGCTACGTACTGATGCGTATGATCAATTTTATTTTATATGAATTTAAACCTAAATAAATTATGCTGTATATTGTATTAAATATGTGTGATAATAAATCAACTCGAGACAACTCGCGATGGATGGCTAGGTGTTAAAAAAATATAAGAAGTCAAACTTAACAAAGAAACATTTACCGAGTGAAAACTACAAATTTTACGCAATCCTTATACAACAAGAGTGCATTAAACCGAAAGATAAAATAATCAGTATGTGAATTGCATTAACCTATAAATATATATATATATATATATATATATATATATATATATATATATTACATCCATGGTATTAACTCTTACGTGAGCATACATACAACGTTTGTAATAATTTATTACACGCAACTCTAAAGAATGCTAATTGAGTCTTTTTTCGTTCATGATAAAGATATTAGTAAATTAATATTCAGTTTATTAAGCTATGGAAAAAACACCAAAAAATTTATGGAGCAAACATTTGTTCCATCTTATACCCTATCATACTCTTGGCAATATAAAGGTTAAAAAGGTCAAAGGTCAATTACACTTTCCAAAATTCAGAGGATTCAACACGTCTAAAAAACATCGCATGTGAATACATGCTAAACGACGCATCACACACGAAACATGTGACAGGCGAGGATTTTTTTTGTCATACTCGAAACCGGTTACTGCGAAACAGCACTGGGCGACCTTAACCACTAGGCCATCACGCCATTTTCTGAAAGCGAAAACGACAATGACGTCACACATCAACCATAATTGGGCACGGAACTTCAATATAATGACATCTGCATGCAGCAGTAAAAAGACAACATAACGACGCCAACGTTCTCATGTCGACGTTCAGGTCAAATAGTATAGTTCAATTCTCATGAATAATTCAACGGTTGAGAATTAAGATGCTACGCTGACTAAACAAGCGCATATTAAAAATAAATTTAAAAAAGTTAAATAAATAAATAATAATCCAAGGTTTCTACGTTTGAACTTGAAACAGTTTTCATACATCGAACTACAGACGTCAGTTTTAATGCGAGATCATGAGAGGTAGCTCAAACACGTAGAGACCTTTGATTGGTCACAAAATTCTAATGCATTTTTGCTGTAAGACGTTTTTTTCTATAAAAAAAAAAATTAGAAATTTTAAAAATCAAATTTCAGTACTGAAATTTACCGCAACAGTACTTCCTTTGTTGCATTAAAATCAATATATTATAATTAGCAAACAGTTTTGAAAAATATAGAAATGAGAGTATTAAAAGAAATTGATTAAAATCATCAGATTTCCAATGTTTGCCCCTCGTGTTCGACGTGGTACAAGATGTCTCCGAGGGCATGCTGTACTGCCGATGCCTCCGTCGCCTGGCACATCTGACATTTTTAAATAAGCAAGCAACAAATTTCATCTATCATTCTGAGGTAAAATATTAATTATGTAAAAGAATTTTCTTAAATAATTTAAATGAGGAAATATACAAACAGGTCTGTATTGGTAATCTTTGGGCGGGTATTTGAACTTCGGTCCAAAATTAACTGACACCTGAATTACAAATGCAACAGCATCATTTTAATGTAAAGGAGAATAAAAATAACTATCAAAATAAATGCCGCCTCGAAAATTCAAGTAAAACCATGCAAGCCATTAAAATGAAACCACGCATGAAAAGAAAGAGATGAACAATGGAACAAATGAAAAACAGACTGTGGCATTCTTGTAGGATGAGATGGCGGGAAAGTAGATACCCTTGTTAATATCTTCGTATGCGATGCCTTGACACTTGCCGTTGAGAAACATAATAATCTGAAACCATCCATTTCATTTACCAGTTAATTAATGGGGAAAAAGATGAATGAACAAGCTGAATGAATAAATGATATAGTAAAGGACTGATTAATTAAATGAATGAATGTATGAAAGAATGCAAAGTTGAAAACACTGAATTTATAAATTCTTACCTGACTGCCAGCAGCAGGTTTCAGTTTGCTTTCAGTTTCTGCAACCAAATCTTTCTCTTCATAGTACAAATGGCTTTTGAACTTTACTAGAGGCTTAAATAATTGCGTTGAAAAGAATTAACATTACATCATTGCAATCAGAGTGAAAAAGTTAGTTAGTCTGATCTTTCACATGTATGAGAAAAACAACTGGAAAAATATTTTAAATTGGGTCTTGGAGCACAAAAATCCATTAATTAAACAATTCCATCGCCGACGGCATCTGCATTTTCGCTATCCTGCACACGAACCTTCTCTTTGTATTGAGGTGGCAAGAGTTGAAGATGACACTCATCCGCCTGGCGAGGCAGACGAATGAGGAAGCCCAGTAGATCATCCTCTCTGTAACCTGAGTCACAGTAATGCTTCCCACGACTCTGGTGGAATATTGTCCCTTTCTTTGACCTCCACGAATAACTGAACTTGTCATATCCGCAAGGTGCCTGTAGGTTCCCTGGATTAGTAGGTTATTATTGTATCCTAGAAGACCTGACAAATATCTAATGCGAATCAACATGTTACCAACCACTTATATAACAATTGGTTGTATATGATCATAACTGTAGACGCAAACAAAACGTGATGGGAAAAATTTTTTATCTTAAACCAAAGCAGAAAGAAACAGAAAGAAAGAAAAATGTTCACAAACCTAAACTTTGTGACCATCCTATCCTAGTCGCAGAATCGGCGGGCATGTCGTCAATCTTCACCTCGTAAAACCAGCTGCCTTCATTCACTCCTAATAATTGAAAAATATCAACTGCATCAATTAACTTCATAAATACAACCAATCAGTATTTAACAACTAAAATATATAAATGAGCTTTGTAAATTTTAAAAAACATTAAATTTAATTGATTAATTAAATTAAAAAATATATCAAATATATAACAAAAATAATAGTTAAGTAGGCAGTAAGTATGTACCGTGGTTGGCCCGAATCATACTGTAGCCCTTCTCCCCTGTCACTGTCAATCTATCATCACTGACCTTCAACTGGGGGGCTGATCATCAAATTAGAATAATCATCATAACCGTCACCGATATAATCATCATTATCGTCACCAACATAATTATCATTATCGTCATCAACATAATCACCCTCCTCTTGTGATCACTAACATTACCTTCGTCCTTTGCCATTATCAATCTTAATTTATCACTGCCATCATTCTAAAAACAGCATCATCATCCTAAAAACAGCATCATCATCAACTGCAACAACATTAAGAGAAACAACATCAACAAAAACATCAGCACAAACGACGTCGACAAATCACCAGAAACAGAAACAAGATCGCTAGCCTCGATCATTCAACGACAATAACACATTAGCTTCTAGATTCATGCGATACAAGTAGCCAGGTATTGGCTTGCCAGCCCACTCTGGACTCTCGTCGAATATCTGCCAATTAGGAGCGTGGGGGTCGGGCTCTGCCAAGTGGTACCGGTAGCCATCTTTGTTGAATGGATGCTCAGCTGGATAACAACTTGGGGCCAGTCTCATCGTTGATGTCATTTCACTGAATAGGCAAGTAATGATAATTTATTGTTCATCTATTATTCCTTTCCAACCATCATTTCAAATCATTAAAATAACGTTTGAAAATATTTCTTGAAAAATAAATCATAAGGGGTGTACCTTTTCTTCTGTTTGGAGCCAACAACGTAATGATGTTCACCTGGAGTTTTTCTCTTTGCCAGCCTACCTCTCGTAGCTTTCAAGTGATGAAAGAAACGATAATCAAAACATTTTATTTACACTTTATGATCTAAAATTGAGTAAAGTATCACTGCACAGACACGCGCACACGCACGCACACACGTGCACGCACGCACACACACACACATACACACATGTATACAATACCTTCAGTTTGCACTTGAGTTTTTGTCTCAACAGGACGATTGCACAACAGTCTCAACAGGCTTTCACAGTTTGGTCCTATTTTACTCAGATCCTCATTGACTAATCCAAAAGTAGTATCGGCACCACCTTCCTTTGTGGTGAATATGCTGGGATCTTTCAACTGCAATGGTGTGTTTGAAATTAAACATTTGTGTAAAGTTTATAAGATAATTGAAGAGAATATAAAACTTCCTGACTGACTGAATATGAAAATATTTAAATGGTTGTAGAAAAACATTTGAACAGTTCTGCACAAATTCAATTAAAAATTGTAATCCTGCTTTCAAGTAATCACAAAGCCAACAACTCTTCAGCCACCAACCATAGTCTTAGAAATAGAAGAATGCCAAGTGTTCTTGACTCTTCGTGGACTGGATGTTAACAGTTCCCAGTTGGTCTCTATGTATGGAATAATGTCAGCATCTTTGGAAAACATAGTCTTCCCTTTATTCTTCTGCATAAGGTTTGCGATGGCAGTCAAACACATCTGACCAAAACTAGCTTGCCTTTTCATTAAACTCTCCTGCATGCTGCACCTTTTACAGAAGAACTGGTAGTTTGTCATGAATGGTACACAATCTCTGAAATTTAATTTAAAATTTTTTTTAGTTTACTCAGAACAACTTAACTAAATACATATTTAATTTAACTTTTAAATATCCTAATAATTTTCATGGTTTTTAAATTGAAAAAAAAAAATAAACTTCCTAACCTATTGTAACAAGATACGCATGTCTCATGGTAATACCTCAGACACATACCACACTGAAATTCACAAATATTCAAGTTCCTATCTCTGCCACTGTTACGAATTATTTTTATTTTAAACTTAATGGTAAATTTTTAGTAGTAAATCACAGCATAGAGTTATGTTAAATCATAGCATAAAGTTATATGTATGTATATATAAATATATATATATATATATAGCTATATATATATATATATATATATATATATATATATATATATAGCTATTTGCAAATTTATTTAATAAAAATTTAAAAAAAAAACAATAAAATGTCTAATTTCTCGGAAATTAATAAATGAAAAAGAAATATGAAAAAGTTGAACAAAGTTGAAAGTAGTGTTGAATTTTTGAAATGTTGCATTAACAATAGTCTGTTACCAAAAAATATATATATATATATATATATATATATATATATATATATATACTTTATATACTTTATATATACAGTATTGTATGAATTCAACAGAATTGTTGGCATTAATCAATTTAAAGTTTGTTTTTCAGTTTTCCTTATTAGAATTTTCTGGAAATCATTCAATTTATTGAAAATAGAATTATTCAAGTTCATCATGGAAATTTAATGAAACTGTTCTTATCAAAGATATTTGGTTTATTTATATTTTTCTTGAAATTTATGATTAAATAAATTTTTTAATTTAAACTTTGAAGTTTAATAAATTTAATCAAGTTCTTTATTACTAAATTTAATTAAATTTTTAAATTGAAAATAGCAGTGACTTGCTAGTCTTAACATTTTTAACAGCTCTTTTATTTAAATTAAATTTAAAGAGTTGAAAAGCATGAAAAATAAAAAAAAACTTGGCAAACCAGTAACACGTCTTGTCCTCCGGATTTGCTGGTAGCAAAGTCGACCCACCAGCACCAACAGCAGAAGGGACATCATCAGCAGCAGACTCCGTGCACACCTTGGCTTCGATGGGCTCCATTTCAGGCTTTAATTTTTATATTTATATGAATTATAAACTAAAATAATTTAAATGCATCCACAATTTTCATTTAAAAGCACGAAAATATTAAAACGCAAAAATATTAAAAAAAAAGAGGTGCGAGCAGTATTAGGTGGTTGATTACAAAGATATTGCAGTTAATTTGCCAAACTTTGCATTTCGGTTACTTGTGTATGTTCTATTTTGATATTTCTATTTTAATAAAATTTTGAATAAAATATTTTTTAAACTCGCTCGCGTTAATTCTATGATATCGATATTGGAGATATTCCTATATAAAGCGAGCGAGCAAAATTCTAATACAAATCTACGCATATTGGCTCAGCTTGGGTGTTAACATGGATATAAATATATATATATATCCATGGGTGTTAAGCAAGGTGTGATCTCAAACTATTTCGAATTCTCCCCGAAAAATGTGAACTGCGTGCGTATACATGTAGCCCTTATTACTGTTGCTTTTATAATGAATTTATTATATATATATACATATATATATATATATATATATACAAAAACGCACCTTTGGTCGTGATGTACTTTATGCACTCGTATTGGCCAACCGTACTTGCGAGAGCAAGTTGGAAATTCTCACCCATATATAAGCAATAAGCATTAGACTAAATAAGCAATAAATGAAACAAAGTAAACGGTACATTTTATTATCTAAAAATGAAATAAAACATAAACTTTCATCCTACAAGTAATTTAAAAACCGCTGTCCCATCACAACACAATAAGAACGTTAACAAAGGATGTCAAAAGTTATTTCGGAGGTGGCGGTGGAGGTGCCTGACTGAAGAGACCTGCTTGCTGCATGAACTGATTGTACAACATAGCAATGTTTTGGAGGTTGTCATTATACTGGTAAGTATTTGCAGCGGCACTGTTGTTGTTTGTACTGGCTGTTGTTTGTGGTGGTGGTGGAGGAGGAGGAGGATTTTGTGAAGATGGCGGAGGAGGCGGCGGAGGAGCTGAGGTATCAGGAAAACCATGAAACTTTGGAAACGTCTGAGCGATAGAGGTTTGAGGAAATGGTGAACTAATAACGCTAGTTGCACTCAAGTGGCCGTATGAATAACTATTCTGAGATGACTTTTGTTGAGCTGGCTGATACTGATTTTGAAAACTTTGATTGTGTTGGTTGTGCATATTACTATAGCCCTTATCATTTTGCTCAGATTGTTGCTGTGTTTTGTATTTCTGGCTATCTTGATAATAGTTAGATCTTTCTTGGAATGATTTTTGTTGTGGTTCCCGTTGCTGCTGCTGCTGTTGATGTCTTCCTTGAAATCTTTGATTACTGAATCCCCTAGAATCTCTATTTTCATTTTCACCATTGTTGTACGAATTTCTGTTTCTGTCATCATTGTATCTGCGATTACCATCGTTGTTATGAAAGTTTGAACCTCTACCTCGAAAAGATCCAAAGTTTCTATTACTTCTGTAGCTGTTATCGTCAAAATTGGTGCTACTCTTATTATTATCATAATTGTTATTTCTACCGCTGTTGTCATAACTGTTATTTCTGCTATTATAGCCATCAGTATTATCCTTACCGAGCTGCTGATCCTTGTCAGTGTTAGTACTACTACCATCATTATTTCTTTCATTATTGTCTTCATTTTTCTTATCATTATCATTATCTCTTCTGCTAAAATTGTTATCTCTATCTCTCCGATCAAATCTGAAATCATCGTTGTCTCTGTTATAATCTCGATTGTAACCTCTACGATCAGACTGGTAGTCTTTGTTGTCTCTGTTGTCCCCGGAGTTGAAATTTCTCTCTTCTCTATCTCTGAAATATCTACCTCTGCCACCTCTCTCTCCCCCTCTTCCACCTCTATCTCCCCATCTGTCTTCTCCTCTTCCACCTCTCTCTCCACCTCTTCCGCCTCTGTCTCCCCATCTATCTCCTCCTCTTCCGCCCCTGTCTCCCCATCTTTCTCCTCCTCTTCCACCCCTCCCTCCCCATCTATCGCCCCCTCTTCCACCCTTGTCACCACTCCATCTGTCTCCTCCCCATCTTGAATTATCCCTATCCCTTCTATCCAGCCTATGATCAGATCTGCTATCACAATCGGAATCCTTTACTTCATTGTCATTTTTTATGTTGTCATCAGTGTTGCTGAATAATGACAATGGTACATCAGGATATTTGGAAGCATCTGTCTGAACATTCATGAGTGGCAAGACACTGCTAGATGATTTGCGCACAGTTGAACTCCTATCTGAACTAACAGAACGTCTCCCGGATCGTGGTCGATCGTCATATTCATCCTCGCTGGTTTCACTCTTTTTGGCCGCTGCTACAGCAAGAGCCGTGTATTGGCTCATGATAACTTTCTGTATAGCCTCCTGTACTTTATCAGCAGCTGTACTGTTATAACTGTCAAGATTGATGGGCAAATTTGTTTGACTAGATGCCGTGGTATCCGTAGGAACCGCAGTTGCATCACCTTCAATAGTCGATTGACCTTCTGAAGGTGCTACTCCAACGAAATCACCAAGTGCCATGAATTTGTTGACTGTTGGATCATCACTATCCCAACGACTGGGTCTTTTCCTAGTGCTTCTATCCTCTCTGGATTTATCAGCATGGTCAACATCTCTGTCTCCATATCTGCCACCAGTTCTAGATCCTCGATCCATTGTTCTCCACCTGCTCCTACCTATCAAACAATTTTTTAAATTAGTCACAGTCGGTAACAAAATTGCAAAAACAAAATTCTTTTAAACCAGAAGATATTTTAATCAAACAAAAAAAAAAACGAACGTGTGCCAACCTCTATCAGATCCAAATCCTTGCATGCCTAGCAAACGAGGACTGATGATCTGTTTGGCCTCTTTCAGGACATCAATCAAGTCTCTAGCTTTGTTGCGGTTATGAGGGGTAAAAAAAGTGTATGCAGTGCCCTTGTTTGATGCTCTACCAGTTCTGCCAATGCGATGAATGTAATCTTCAGAACAATTTGGGTAGTCATAGTTTACCACAGTTTTCACATCTTCAATATCTATCAGGAAACAAATTAATAATCACTTGCAAATTAAAATTTGTGATGACATTTTTGATTGATTGATTGATTCTTAATAAAATAAGTGATAATCAAACTTAAAAAAAAGATGAAGCTGTAATAGAAATAAAATGTACAATAATTAAGTTGCATTGAATAGAAAAAGTTTCTAACGAATTCCTCTTGATGCAACATCAGTAGCTATCAACAAAGGACATCTTCCATCTTTGAATTCTGTTCAATTATTTTCCATAAATTTGTTAAAATTAGCAAACAATTTACAAATATATACAAATATTTATGACTAGAAGTCTATAGATAAAACTGAAAATTGGATCCACATTTATAAAATCCAATACATCATCCATAGCATTTACAGTCAATAACATACATTTCAATGTTTCAAACTCAACTATTTTAGTTGAAAAATTTCCCAAATGAAATGGTAGCAAAAAAAAATTAAAAAAAGATTCAAACAAAAAATCTCATAAATATACCTTGTAGGACATATTCCCTATCTACCTGACTTTTATCTCCATGTATGGCCATTGCAGCATAGCTAATTAATAGATAGAAAATATTTACTGATTTACCAATTTGTCAAATAAAATCCAAGTACAATCAACATTTTCATACTTCAAATTTAGCGTTCTGAGACTTTTACTGTATTTACGTGATGTTTTTAAAAGGACTTAATCACATACATAAAGGCAAATTAAAAATTCTCTTATTAAGGTTCAAGGTATTTTCATAAATTGCATTTCACATTAACTATCCTTTCACACCACAAATGTTCATTCATAAGAATATTAATAATAAAATTATTATCAAGTTGAAAATCGAAACAATTTGCAACTGTAAAGATCTCAAGAACACATAGCATTCTGTGAAGTGAACATGACATAAAATAATGACATACCCTTCTCTTTTCAGACGTCGAGTCAGTTCATCGGCCTTCCTTTTGGTCTCAACAAATATCAAACACTTTTGATCCTCCTCCCTCATGATGCCTTTCAGTAAGCGACTCAATCTGAATTTTCAAAATTTGTAATAATGATTTTGTTACTTTATTGGTCAAATTGAATCACATATTATGAAAATATTTATTCAATTTAATGATATTAATCCAATTTTTATTCACAGTTCAACCATTTAAATAAATTTATAGTTATACAAATTCAAAATATAAATATTATACAATGAATTAAACAAAAACAAATGAACGAATAAAGAGCCAAATAAACTGACTTGAACGGTTTCTCATCCTCACGACAAACTTCAACATGTTGCACAATATTGTGATTGGCACTGAGCTGCAGGGCTCCAACATTTATTTGAACATAATCATTCAGGTAGGCTTCAGCCAACTGTTGAACTTCTCTTGGCCAGGTGGCACTCCACATCAAAGTCTGACGATCAGACTAAACAAAAGGTTGATCAATTTCATTGGTTGAACCATTTACAGAATAGATTACAGAAGTCATGAGTATTAAGTTGACAATTGAATGAAAAAAATAAAAGATGACCGACCCTCAACTGGTCCATGATTTTTCTAATCTGAGGTTCAAATCCCATGTCAAGCATACGATCGGCCTCATCCAACACGAGGAATGTTGTGCGCATCAAATTTGTCTTGAATGTATCTAGGAAATCATTTAGTCGACCAGGTGTTGCAATAACTAACTCTGCACCTGTTCAATGTTGAATATAAACTATGAAATAATTGTTAGAAAATAACCAAATAAAAGTTTAACAAATTTTATTAACCTCTTTCAAGTTCTTTCAATTGTGGCTGCTTAGGAGATCCGCCATATATGCAAGCATATCTAATGTTCGCTCTCTCACTGAACAGGCTGGCTGTCTGTGCAACTTGCTGAGCTAACTCTCTAGTTGGCACCAGGACCAGACACTGAAAGAAAATTAAATTTTTATGTCACCATGAAATAAACATGCTAGATACATTGGTTAACAACCCAGTTGAAAATAGCAGTAATTTGAATTAAATAAAAAAAAACATGAGAATACTAACAATGCATCCATCACTGAACATGAGAGGTGGCTGTCTGCTGATATGGACAAATGCTGGCAGGATGTACTGTACAAGTGCAACAAAGAGAAACATTTCAATATCACATAACAAACAAACAGTGATTGCAAGGTTTGAAATAAAAAACTACAATCTCCAACCAACAATTAAATTCTATAATTGTGATCGGAATGTAAAAACAAAAACAAATATGTTTCAAAGAAATTTTACAATATTTGAAAATTTTCTGAAAACATTAATTATTTATGTATTGTTTTTGTAATTATATATTCTGGACAGGTTGGATGAAAGGAAGTTTTAGAACACCAATCCTCATCTTGTCTTTTCAAACCAATAAGTACATGCATGCAAGCACACACATATATAACACACACATTATATATATATTTATATATATATATATATATATATATATATATATATATATATATATATATATGCGTGTGTGTGATAAATATTGCACGCATATATTGATGCATATTTATGGATACATATGAATACATAATCATATGCTTATAAAAAAATACATAATGTTAGCTTGAAACAAACAACAAAAACAATATAAAACTGATGAATCTTTAAAAGTGGATGGTGCATAACCAGATGAAATTCAAGAAAAAAATTGATAGCATTAATCTGATGTCAACAGTTAATCACTGGTCATTGAGAAGCCAGTAGCATTACTGTAGAAGGCTGTCGTATTGCCAACAGCAATTTTATTTTTATTATCATCATTAAATTCATCATAAAAGTAAGAAATTCAATCATCATCGTCATCGCGCCTACCTCTCGCGATCTGAAGAAAAAACATTACCGCAACTTACCGACAGTGTCTTGCCAGAACCCGTTTGAGCTATCCCAACTAAATCTCGGCCGCTGAGGGCCACAGGCCATCCTTGGGCTTGTATGACAGTGGGTTTTTCCCACCCTTGTTGCTTAAACACATCCATAGAGTAGTCTGGATTTGTCAACATTCACATGATAACAAATGGAACCAAGTAGTAGTAGTAGTAGTTGTTGTTGAAGTAGTAACTAACTACTCAGTAACACTTAATTTATTATTCACTCTGTAGTGCTATGTGTATTTTTTGCTTAATTTTTTTATTTTCATAAAAAATAAATTTGTACTTATTTGATTTTGTGTTATTTTTCTGTTGATGTCAGCAGACCAACCGTTTTTAAGATCCTGAAATAATCTACATAAATAATAACAATGACTTAATAAAACTTTCTGCTCACCAGGAAAATTGGCCTCTTCAAATTTCAGGACAGGTTTGGGACAATCCCTTCCTCTCACTCTAACTTGGTGCTCAGCATAATATTCCTCAACTTCACCCTAACAAGTACATTACAAGTTTAACTAATTGCACATTTTAGAAACATTGTTTTTTAAATTTTGAGATATTTATCATTAACAAATTTTTTTTTAAATTAATTAAAGTAAGCCTTAGAAGCTTAAAACTAAAAATTTTTAAAAACTCAATTTTGACAAACCATTGATCTATTTGTTACATCTGGATGTTCTTGATAAAAATTTTTCTCAATGGGCAAAATCTTGTACGTAGTATACTTGGACCTCTTTGAAGAAGTGGGAGCAGAGGTAGTCAAAGCATTTCCAGAATTAACATCAGACACATCAGATTGAGATTTGCTCCCATCCATACTTTCATGAAAAGAGCTTTAAATGATTTTAAAAAATTAATATCATATTATAAATTATATTTTATATAAAAATTTAATAATTAATTCAATAAAATAAATTTATATATAAAAATATAAATTATAAATTAAGTATAAAATACAATTGTAATGTATGTATACGCATACATACAATCACTTAATGATATCAAATATTAAATTTATTAAATAAATGAAAAATTATAAAATTAAATCGTAAATTACATAAATCACAACATATTTTATATAATTCCACCATAGTATCAAATCACAACCTTTGCAAACGATCAGCTCTACTAGCGTCATCCAATATTCTGCTTTGCGACATGTTTTACAATTTTATCAGCGATTACTAATAACAATTTATCACTTATGTTCGTACACTTTATGAATAATCTAAATTATACCGTATTACATCGCCGACTTTATTAAATTTAACAAACTAGAAGCCATCTTCAAAAAACCATTAATAGGAAATATAAAAAGATTAAGAAAATTAACGGACCTCATATACCTAAAAAAAAGAAAAGATAAAGCGTTCAAATAATTAGAAACTTTTAAATTCTTGAATAAAAAAGAAGTTACGGACAAATTTACGATAAAACTACTTGAAATCATGGAAACAGACTAGAGACAAGTGCACAAATAATAATATACGTCACGCGAACTCACAAATATTGGGACGAATCCATCCATTTGTCCATTTTATTCAGCAGAAATAAAAGTTCAGATGGCTATAAAAATTAAAAAAACAATGAGGAATCAAATTCCGACAATGTCCAACCCTAACAAAATCAAAGTTCGGCAAAATCAGACGTGTCTGGGCCGATACAGACGAACGAAACGTTCATGGACATATATAAACGTCGGAGACCAATTCGGAAAAGTAACACAAACTGTACACTTTGTACGTTATTTGTTGTACAAATTTTTAAAACGCTATCAAAGATAATATATTGTGATACGCGTTTTAAATGTGACGTGCACGCATTATAAAAGTTCTGGTACTAATGTTTATTGTAAAAATGTGCACAAACGTTTAACTATGTATAGGTTATAACTTAGAACATATATTTTAAGTATCATGTATATATGGGTAAGTAAGTAGTATATATTATATATACACGTACATAAAACGTTTCAATTAAAAACATTCATAATGAAACGCATAATATACTTAGAATAATAGAAGACTGAGGGGTGGTGGTGGTGTAGGTGTTTACTTAAGAAAGGATGTTGTTTATAAAATTCGTACAGATTTGTGTACAGTAAAGGATGTATTTGATTGGTTAGCTATAGATATTAATAATATTGCAGGTAAAGGATCTGACATATTGTTTTGTTCCATCTATCGTCCACCTAATACTAATTACAATTTTTTTATTCAACAACTAGAAGAATTGTTTATAAAATTGAAACAGGCATAAAACTAAAATTTATATATCAGGTGATTTTAACATTGATATGGCTAAAGATGACTGCTACAAAATTGGTTTTTCTTTCCGCAAAGAAAATGACTGTCATTTTCGTTAGTGCCGTTAATTAATTCACCTACACGTATAACTAAAAATACTTCGACGTTGTTTGATAACATTTTCACTAATAATATTGTCAATCACACTTCAGGCATCCTATATTTTGATATTTCTGACCACTTACCTGTTTTCACTGTTTGCAATAATATTAGTTTCATAAATAACTCGGATACTTATTCTGCTCGTGTTGTATCAAATAGAAGTTTAGTTCCGTTTTATCTAATTTTGACTGGAGTTGTTTAAATCAATTTACCGATTTAAACAAATATACTTCATCATTTATTAATTTTTTTACTGGTTTCATCCGCAAAATGAGATCTTGTAAAATCAAAAATCCGTGGCTAACAAAGGGTATCCTTAAATCATTCAAAGTTAAATCAAAATTATATAAATTGTATATTAAAAATCCTTCTGAACTTAATTTTTAAATTTATAAAAAATATCGTAATAAATTAAATAAATTAGTTATTATTTCTGAAAAAAATTACTATAACGATATATTTGAAAAAAATAAAAACAATACAAAAGTAATTTGGCAATATATTAATAAATTAATTAGATCCCGACCTAATAATCCTATCAGTGAAATAAATGTAGATGGTTTGATAATAGATAATCCGAAGAATATATGTGAAGCATTCAATAATTATTTTACCACTATTATTAAACACAATGATGGTTCTCAAAGTAATATTTTTTTGGACAATATTTCCTCAAATTTTACCGTAAACTCTTTTTATTTGAATTTAGTTGATAATGATGAAATTCTTGGACATGTCAATGATTTGAAGTGTTCTCATTCATCAAACCATGATGGTATTTCTTCTTTTTTCATAAAAAAACAATATATAACATTATTGATCCACTTAGTCATATTATTAATCAATCATTTGCCACCGGTATGTTTCCCGATCTTTTTAAGATTGCTAAAGTTATTCCCTTGCATAAAAATGGTCCCACTAATCTGCTGTCCAATTATCGACCAATTTCAGTTCTATCATCTTTGTCAAAAATCTTAGAAAAAATCATGTCAAATCGTTTAAATAATTATTTGAAACATATCAAATTTTTCAATGATTCTCAATATGGATTTAGAAAAGGTAAATCTACTGAGTTGGCGTTGTTAGATCTTGTTGAGAGAATTCTTAGTAAAATGGAAGATAAGTCGATAACTATTGGGTTATTTTTAGATCTATCTAAAGCGTTTGATTCTATTAATCATGCGTTATTGTTGAGGAAATTATATTCTCTTGGTATTCGTGGAGTACAACACAAATGGTTTGAAAGTTATCTATTAAATCGTAAACAATATGTAGCTTTGGGTAATCATCGGTCATCGAATGTTTTGATTAAATTTGGTGTCCCGCAAGGCTCAGTTTTGGGGCCTTTGTTATTTTTAATTTTTATAAATGATTTATCCACTGTCAGTAAATCACTTGAAAGTATATTGTTTGCTGATGATACCAATATTTTATGTTCTGGGAAAGACATTAATACTGTGGTCAATACATTTAACACTGAAATGGAAAAAATATGCAGTTGGTTTAAATCAAATGACTTAAATATAAATTATAAAAAAACAAACTATATGATTTTTGGTTTTAAGATTGTTGCTAATAATTTAGGGATTTCTATTAAAATTGATAATAACAGTATTGAAAGAGTGTATACAAATAAATTTTTAGGTTTTGTAATTACAGACAATTTGTCATGGTTAAATCATATAATGCACATATCAAGTAAAATTTCTAAAATTACTGGTATCATTCGTAAATTGAGGTTCAAGCTTAGTTTTGATGTCACTAAAAAATTATATTACAGTTTAATTATCCGTATTTAACATATGGCGTAATGTTATGGGGTAATAGTTGCACGACCCATCTTAAATTCTTTGAGATTGGCCTATAATAGTTTTGTTAGATGTCTTTTTTTCTTGAAAAAGTATGACCATGTCTCAAGTTTTTACCAAAAAGCTAATCTATTAACAATTAAACAAATATATAATTTTGGTCTGTTAAAATTTATGTTTAAATTATATAAAAATTTATTGCCTCCTAATTTGTCCATTCATTTTAAAGCTCCTGATAAAAAGTTACGTGTTTTAAGACAAATGAATGATTATGTTCAACCTTACCCTAGATTAGTAATGTATAAATTATCGGTTTTCTCCTCCGGGGTTTCACTTTGGAATAGATTGCCTTCAGAGTTCAAATTATTAAATAGTATTTCTGATTTTTCTAATAAAATATTATTATACGTTTCCAAATAATCTTTGTTATTTCTAATTTATTATGCTGATATAATATGATTAAACATTTTTGAGTTTATTGCTGTTGGTTTTTGAATGTATGTCTTGAATGTATGTTGATATTTATTCTTGGACTTAGTTTGAATTCAATTTGTTGTTTGTTCCGGCAAAATCATATGATTGAACATTTTAATTATATTGCTGTTATTTTTTGAATGCATGTCATGAATATATGTTAGTATTTATTTATTGGCCTTTGTTTGAATTATATATTTGTTGTATGATCTAACACATTTTAGATAACACTACAAGGATCAAATTTTAGTTTCATTTCATTATCATTTTGTTTTACGAACGTTTAATTTATGTGCAGTGTGCTATGCTTTTGTGTCAAACAGTTGAACGAACAAATTATGTTATCGTATATGCGCTTGATAATTTTTTAAATTGTTTCTGTTTTTCTTTTTGGTGGCCTATAAAGCTTAATAAGCTTGTATGGTCTCCAAGCCATTTTTTGTGGTTAATAAAATTTGTAAAATAAAAAAAAATAAATAAAAAAATAAATAAACTATACCTATTAGAACAAACTCAACCCGTTGGTTTACTGACCCCATATATAGAGAATATAATGACTGACCCTTTATTGTTACATATTTTCTACGTGGGTTTTTGCTCACTTAATCCAGCTGTCCATTAACTCAGATAGCATATCGTATGTCTTTATAACAAAGCTCTCCAAAACCATCGGCCTAATAATGAAGAAACTAGATTTTCCCCATTGTATGATATTTTACTTTTTAAAAATTCTAGATAAAAAGAATTATAAAGAATTTGGACGGGTTAACTTAGCTGGAGTGGCATTCCTTATTTGTTTTTGTCACGTGGTTCGAATGCTCTCCGATCAAAATTCCTAGGCTGTATTCATTTACACGAAAGATGTTGTGCTTGCGGGCGCATATCAATGCGTGTGTGTCGTGTCCTCGTGTGCTCTTGTACAAAATTTACATAACGCAATTTTCTTTGTTCTGCTTTTATCAGAGCTGCACAAGGATACGGATAAAAGTCTATTACAAATGCTATTTTTCAGGCCAGAAACCGTATTATATCATACCTTATCGTTGTTATGACGTACCCTAGTTTTGACAAAGTCAATTTGGAGGTTTCTTCTACGACAATGATTACAGATTTTGTTTCTAGTAATTTTTATAATGGTAAGATTAAGGTAGGGCAATAGGGCTAGCCTGGCTACCTTTGTAAAATACCAAGGATGTGGACCAAAGTTTTTGCATGGTTCTTTGAGGAATGTTATTGAACATCCCTAAAACGAAGCTGTAGATATAGGAATAAAACTGATTGTTTGATCAAAAATTTGATTCTTGTTGTTCAACGGTTTTTCTTGATTAAATTTTTTACAAACATAACTTTCTAGATTTATTCTGTGATTTGTACGTGACTGAGAAGTACCTAGTTAAAAAAAGCATGGTGTAGAAAGAGATTATTGTTTAGAGCTTTAGCATCTAACTATAATTGTTTGGGCTCATGAAATTTTACGTATTTCAATGTTTGTGCATCTTTTTTCTGAATCCACATAGGTAGTTCGCAGGTGGTTTTCACTGTTAAATCCATTAGGGTTGTATTTTAACATACATTTGAATAAAAGCGTTGATCACATAACTAAAATACATTCTCTTTATGTATTATCACATAATATTATAAACATTTTCATGGTAATTCGGTCAGGTTACTCAAACTAAACTGGCACTATGATATTTCAATAATTACATTATTCTAAAAATCAATGTTTTTTGAATATATCAATTTTTTTCTCCACTGGTTTGATGTGTGTTGAAAATTTGTAATACAGCATATATTTAAAATACACATTCTACGTATTCTTTATATTATTATCACTGAACTATCACTGAACTATATAGTGGTTATGCAACACAAGAATTTTATTTTCTGCAAAACTTTGCAGTTGCGGTTGTTACACTCAGTCCCTCAATAAATAGCCAAAAATAACGAAAATTTTCAGAACAAATTTATGTTGTCTTGTTGAACGGACAGAAAAAAAATGGTTGCATGTTTGTCTGCAACGGCCTGTTATTTCTTACAAAATTTCAGATTTGAGAAATGACTTGACATAAGTATTGTTAGTTTGGATTTCTGTTTTTTTCTCTTTATAATTTATATATTTATTTAATTATAATTTAAATTTTAAAAATTTAATTTAATTGAATTTTTTAATAATTAAATTAATTAAAAATGTATGCTAGTCTTGTATATAATTGTAATCTATACACAAAAGTAAAAACTATAAAATAAAAACATTCTGATTTTTTTCTTTTTGCTTACATTAGAATTAAAATATTAAATTTATTTAATAATTAAATAAAATTGAAAACAATTTATCATAATTTTTTTTTTCAGAAATTCTTTCTTTCAAAATATGCAATTTTTAACTAATTTGTGCACTTGTACTTTGCACAATTTTATTTGTAAATTTATGTCATGATCATCAGCATCACCATCAATTAGATCAGCATTACCTAGCTAATATAATATGAATTTAATTAATTAATTAATGGCTAATCACTAATCAGATCTAGTTTTAAATTTAAAGTTTTAATATTAAAAAACTGATGAAAATAAACATTTTATTACATTTATTAGATTTTTATCTGTTTGAAAGAAATGATGCCCTTCAGAAGAACGTTAAAAAATGTTGTTAAAAATTATTCGGATGCCCAGGTTAAGGTGAGGGAGGCCACGTCCAATGATCCATGGGGCCCGTCCAGTACCTTAATGACTGAAATTGCTGATCTAACTTATAATGTCTTAGCATTCACAGAAATAATGCAAATGATATGGAAAAGACTTAATGATTCTGGAAAAAACTGGAGACATGTTTATAAATCTCTTGTTCTTCTAGAATACATTGTCAAAACTGGTAGTGAAAAGGTATGTTTGTTTTGGATATATAGACTATCAATAAAGTTTATTCAATTTACTGTGTACTTCCTTATTAAATTTTTTAAAAGAAATTGATGTATTTTGCTTTTTATGATTTTTTAAAATGCTTATCTAACAGGTCACACAGCAGTGCAAGGAAAATATATTTGCAATACAGACACTTAAAGACTTTCAGTATGTTGAAGATGCCAAAGACTATGGTTCAAATGTGAGAGAGAAAGCCAAACAGTTGTCTTCTTTACTAAAAGACAATGAAAGACTGAAGAATGAAAGGGCCAAAGCATTAAAAGCTAAAGAAAGATTCGCCCAGACAAGTTCTGGTGTCGGTGTTAGCATTTTTGTCATAGTGTGATACATTCTATAATTAGTTGTACTAATTGTTTGTTTAAAACTGTCGAAATTGCAAGTCATTTTTACTGATATTTTTTCTTAGTTTTATTCAATCAGATACTGTTCCATGAGTTGTAAAAATTTTTAAAAATACTTTGAAAATAAATTTTTTGAATATTTCAAATATGAAATCCATCCAAGCTGTAATTGTTATAATCTTTTATCTAAGTATACCTTAAAATCATATTAACACTGGCTTACATGTTAAAGTTCAGTCCTGTGGATGCATATCTTAAAATTTTCTTGCAGACAGGTCCAAGTTATGCAACAGCCAGTCCAATCTTACCCAGTGTCCTTGCCTACCCTGATAGTGTTGTTGGCAGATATTCTGGATGTTTGTCATTATTTTTCAAATTCAGTTTTTTAATTTTTTTTTTTGGTTTGATGGAATAAATTATGTTTATTTATTTGATTTTCAGTTGGATCCCCAAGTTCGTGGTCATCAGATGGTGGACCTCTGGATGGTGTGTATGTTTTGCATCATCCTATTCATAGATTTGTTCAGTTTTCGTAATTATACTTAACCATTTGTTCATTCATGTCTATGGTTTTAATTTTGTTTCTTGAATATGTTTTATAAAAATATCTAGTGACCAAAATAATTTTCATTTCAACAGCTGAATTGGAAGCTGTTCGACCGACATCTATGGGGGAAGAAGAGTTACAATTGGAGCTGGCACTGGCAATGAGTAAGGAGGAACATGAACAACAGATGAAGTTAATCAAGGGTCTGTTTAACTTTCTAATGATGAGATGTTGTGTAATTATGTTGCTTTGTAACGATGATAGCATTGTTGACATTTGTTTGAAGTGTTTAGGTTGGGATGAAAATATTTAATTAAATTGTTAATTTAATCGAAGCTAAATTTCTTGATAACTTAAATAAATTGTTTATCATCTGAGTTTTAATTTGTTCTCGCTTCTATTCCTAAGGAGATGAATTTAAACTGCAAATGGCTCTGCAGCAAAGCAAGTTAGAAGAGAAGGAAGCCAGGTTGAAGCAATCATTAAAAGTAAGAAAATCTTTTCATAAATTTCATTAACAAAATGATTCTTGTTTAAATATAATTTTTACAAACTGATTAGTTGTACACGTTTATATTTTTTATTTGACCTAACCCATTACACCGATGGAGAATGGTAAGCATGCTTCGCCAGCCACAGACCCAAAGTTCAGTGCAGCAGCAGCAAGTGGCACAGCTTCAAATGACGTCTGGTCATGTTGGAGGTCACCTGATGATGACGTTGGTGATGATGATGGCAGTTTAAAAAATCCCTGGCTCAATGAAGATAAACATTGGTTTGATACTGTACCACCAGCTGGTTTGTAATCTTTTTTTCTATTTGCTTGTAAATGTAATTGTTTGATGTCAAAAGTAACATTATTTTTCCGAGTTTGATAAATCAAAAATTTATTTTTTTTTCCACATTGAATTACGTTATGTGGTTTTATATATTAAGGATGTATTATGAATTATTTTGTTCAAATTAGCATGGCCTGCATCAGTGATGAGCCACGACACCAAGCCACAAAATCTCTCGTCGTCATCTTCTCCTGAAAAGAAGAAAACATCGGTGGTTGATGAATTTGAAGAAATTAGTAACAGAACAAAATCCATGTTGATGTCAGGTTTAGGTGACCAGCAGGAACCTCAAACAACTTCTGATGAAAAACCAATGAATAACAATCTTCAAGGTCTATAGCATTTGAATAAATTTTATATGTTTTGTTTCTGTACTATAATGTCAATTGTATTATTAATTAAACATGTTTTGTAACAATTTTGTAGGCTGTCAAACATTCCTTTGATAATTTGATTATGTTTGGTCATTTATAATACTACTTTCATTGCATCTAGCTACCTATAGCAGAATTCAATGCTTCCATTTTTTCAAATGTATTTGACATCCATTTAGATGACAATTGTTGTGTTGTACTGCACCAAAATTAGACTTATTATACTTTAGTATATTTAGTTTAGTGGTGTTAGTTTTAACAAAATGCCATGACATATGTGTTACGTAGTAGTGTATTGTGACGAAGAATGTTTTGGTCATCAATGACAAACACACAGGGCCTTGGGTGGAAAAGAATTCCACATCAGAACAGCATCGACAAGAAGAGGAGTATCAACAACAAGTACAGCAACACCAGAGGGGCAAATCACCAAAAGACTTTCTTGGCGAAAATGCTGCTCTTGTCAATTTAGATAACTTGATGTCTAAACAAAAATCAATTGGTTATTATTCATTCAAATATATTATAATATTATTTATTTATCTTTAAACTGATCTTTCAGTAGTTATTATTTTGATTAATTTATAATAATTATGTTGATCCTTTATTAATTTTCATAAAAATTGAAAAAGTTATTGGAAATAAATGTTGAACTTTTGTTGTTCGTCAGTGGCCCCTGCCCCATTCAACCCCTTTACCCTCACCAACACTGCTTCCATCACGATCAACAGCAGCCGAGGAACATCACCGTCACTTCCCAGCCAGTCATCCAATCCGTTCGTTGTCGACGGTACAGTGTCCTCTAATATTCCACCTACGCTATTTTCAGACGGTCGGCAGTTTCAGTTTCCACTGCAGGCATCTGCCAACTCATCCAGTTCATTTCATCAGCCATTATACAGCCAACAAAAATTTCAATCTCCATCAAACTCTCAAGTTCCACAAACAGATGGCCAAGAAGTGCCACTGCGATCTACTTATCCGGCTGAGTTCAACCCATTTCTCTGAGAGTCAAGTGTTTTAATTTTAATGATTGCTTTATTATTAATAATATATTTAGTCATTTATTTAAACTGTATTGCATGGGCGAATAACACTACGTAATGTGGGTGCATATTCAACTTGAGTCATCGTAAAACATGGATTATACTTAAATTTGATATGAAGTCTAACTTACTGTCTACATAAACACAATATCGTTGGTTTGTTATTCATCCTTCTTAAGGCGCGAAATGTCCCGCCGTTGCATTCTTTTAAATTTTTGTAATTAGCGACAATCTATATCACGACGTAAATGCATATGCTTGTAAAGGAGATGCAAGTTTACATACATGTAAGCGTATGGACATTGTACGTTTATTATTATTGTTATCATTTCTATTCATTCAGCTATTTATTGATCTATCTTTTGTTGGCGATTACATCAAACTGCTACCGTTGATATTGTAATTATTGTTATTGCTTATTTAAATTGAGTGAAAGCCCTATTGTAAAGATTTGTCATTCAATATTAATTGTTTTTAAATTTTAGTTAAATTTATATTTTCTTTGCCGATTGTTATTCTCTGTTACAGATTTTGTTGCTTGTGTTTATTTATAATATACAAATTCAGGATGTATTCAATTATCTTTATTACGTGTTATCATAAAAATGATACATCTATATCAAAAACACGTTCGGTTGCTCTTACATCTTCTTACATTTGAAATCGAATTTTTGTGTCAATTTGTCTTGTATGCTGACTGACGGTTTTTACTTTTTTTATTATTTTTTTCACCTGTTTTTAGTTGCCTCTTTGCAGTGGATTGCGTGTTTCGGGCAATTCATTTCACGCAAATATTAATGGTCTGTCTGTACGCAATTTGTTTTATTTCGTAGTCTGATTCACAAATCTGCATTTTTATTTATTCGTCAATTCTTATATATATTCATCCGATTTATTTCATAGTATATAATATAGCGGGTTTTTAATTTGTTTCATTTTAATATTTTTGTTATTATTAAACTTAATTCTTTGTTTCATTGGTGCCATTCAGTCAGTCATATAAAATCATCTTCAATTTATTTAGACACTTTCTCATCAAGTAGTTTCAACTCTATTATATGCGAGACTCTCAAGACATGTTTAGCTTAGACTTTTTATAACCGGATACGCATTTTTTTCTTTCCTTTAACTGAAGGTTTATTTTTGTATTTAATTGGTTTATAATCAGCAGCTTCAAATTTTTCCTTTGGTTTTATAATTACTCACTTCTTCCTATTGAATGTGAAAGTGAAAGTTGAAAATATTTCAGTTAAAAGCGGTAAAACGGGAATCAATCAATTCCCTATTTTTGAAACATCTAGACGCATTACTTCCCATGTAAATATATTTAAATGATTAAAGATACTTTGTTAACGAGAGGATGGATATTACTGGCAAATTATATATTACTGGAACTTTGGAAAAAGTTCGGTTGTTGGATTAAATAGACGGAGTCTGGTAAACGAATTTTTACTGACCTAGTGTCATGGCAGAGCGAAAGCAGACAATGATAAATTTAGCAAAATTAAGATCTGCTGGTAACTGAGAGCAAGAAAACTTCAAATTAGACCACGGAAAAGGAAACGTACTAGCGAAACATGAGATTTGCTGCTAAATGACATTTTTGCATGAAAGTACATTTTCCATCAGGATTATTTTATCAATTTTATTCAAGAGTTTTAATGTCTAATTCATTAAATTTTATATAAAATTTAGCCCCATTTTTAAAGAACAATTCTCGTGTTGAACAATGCAGTGGCTGGTAAGAAGCCGATTTTTTTTAAGAGATGATCAAGAGAGATAAAAACCAACCTTTCAACATTAAGTGTACAATTATTTATTGGTTTTATTTCTTGTAATATTTACATTTCAATAATTAATGCCAAGAATCAACCCATGTGTTCTCTGAGGTGGAAAGGTGTCACATTTTCAGTAACATAAACTTGTAACATTTAAATCATTAATTTGGCTGCTTTAATGTTTAATTTTTGAAAAATTCGAAATCAGGATATGGGTTAGGTGGGTTATGGTTCATGATTCTTGACCTGCTATTACAGTTACTTCTATTTTAATTATTTTTACATTTTTATCAGTATTAAATTAAATTTTAAATTAATGATAATACCCTCAACATAAACGTTATATATATATATATATATATATATATATATATATATATATATAGCATAATTTATTAACAGATGTTTGCATTTTTTTAAAATTATGGTTTTATAAAATTCTATTGTAACTCAAATTTTTTCAAGCCAAAGCCCACTCACTATTTACCTTTTTATTCTTAGTTTCTTTTACCAACATTACCGTACATTTCCTACCAACATTACACCGTACAATTTCAGTCAGTTTCTACCAAAACCTGATACCTTAATTTTTTAAATGTCATCTGTTGCTTGATGTGAGTAAAATATGCTAAATATCTGAAAATGTTGATGAAGTAAAAAGATTATATTAAATTAGAGAAAAGGTTGTCATCGCTCTCACGCTTCTTTTGTAATACTTTTTTTCCCCACATCTTGCATTTTTTTGTTCTCAACTCTTATTCCCAACCTTAATGGGTTTTTCGCCGATAGCTGTAATACTCTTCTAAATTTAACAGCCTGAAATAATTTTTACACACACACACACACATATACATATATATATATATACGATTTGTATGCTTATTGTAAGTCAACGTTTTTGTGAGTCAATGACTTTAATACAGACAAACTAGAAAGGTATTCGTTCAATCATCCGATGTAAGATGTGTCATCGTTTTGTTAGTATGCCAATATAACTTATTAAAAATTGTGTAACTTTTATTTTTTAAATTGTTATCTAACAAACGACATATGTGTAGACCTACACACACAAACACATACACACACATATATGTATATATATATATCAACTTTCCCACGCATACACATACTAAATTTTGGTCGCTCCAATTTTAAAAACATTCTGAATCTTCGTCAAATAAAACAAGGAAAATTGAGCGAAAATTGATATAAAGCGGAAAGCCACAAAGGTTCTTTTGCCGTCAGTCTTGTTAAATAAGAAAAAAACTGTAGCCGAAAAAGTGAGAATTTCAGAGATGTGATGTCTACATCGAGAATCCACCATAATTAAAATGCAATTTATTATTATCGTTGATAACACAAAAACTCGGTACAGTCACATGAAACAAATGAGCCATTGAATCCCTTGTTGGAATTTTGGAACGCAACGATCCCATATTTATGGAAAATGTTTATTGGTTAATAATACTTAATTAAATGGAAAACTGTTTCGCTTAAACATACAGTCAAATGACAACAAATGCAACATAATCCAAAATATACAGTTGACACTCGAAGACTGTTCAACGTAGATTCACCATTCGACAGGACAAATATTATAATGCATGATCAAAAAAAAAAAATTCAAAACGTTTAAACTTAAAAAATATATATACACGAGTCAAAATAAAAATAGATGATCAATGTATATATAAAATATATAATGTGTATACAAACATAGAAATGTTCGCTCGCTTCAAGCGTTTACACAGAGATGCACGAACATTTGTAACACATATTATAAAGACTGACAATGTCTCATTAAACGAAAGGAAATACTCGAATATATCTCATATGTTTGTTCATTCATTAACTCATTTATTACAGCACTTATTAATTAAATATTAATTACTTAACAGTTAATTTCCATGCACAACGGGTGGAAACTCATTTTCATCATCCAATTTCAAATCGTCTGCAGGCTCTTTAACTCTGTCCTCCGAAGGTTCATCTTTCGCTTTATGAACAACAAAACATTGATAATAGATTCACATTTAATGAAATTTATATTATTAAATCCATCAAAACATTCCTCCCAACCAGTTAACTGCCGATAGAGAATTAGAGTTAATTAAAACCAACAACACAGACTTCTTTATTAATCTTTTATTAAATTTTTACCATTTAAATTCATTTAAAGTGTTAAACTATCTTGCAGGCTTTTCGTAGCTTATTCATTTTTTTTTGCCACTAGATTTTCAAAAATTGCGTTACAACTCAAACTTTCCATCTTACTTTGTCCTTCCAAGTTCACACTCATTTAATTGCCGACTGTCGCCATGTGACGCAGGCGATCACCGAATTTTTAATTGTGCATCAATTGAGTGGTCAATTAATTAATAATTAACCAAATATTAGTAGAAATGAATGAAACAGAAGGCAATGAAGAATATTCAGAAAAGAAAAATACTAAGAAGCCTACCATAACTATGCACAATGCATAACTAACTAAATGGCCAAGAAGCCGCTGCTCCGTTAATTAACATGGAATCAGCAACCTCTGCATTCCCGCTTTCGCCCATAACATCAAACCTGAAATAAACGATCGTTCCATAAAAATTTATCTAACATATTTAATGAATAAATAACATTAACAAATATCTAGATGCTTAACTAAATAGTTTTTAAGAAAAGAAACAACGTAGACATAAATATCAAGATGGACTTAAACTAGCGAAAAAAATTTTTGCTGAAATAAAAATAAAGTGCCAGTGCATCTTACCTGAGCCGTTTAACATAGGGACACTCTCCTCCAATAGATGTGTTGAAGTTGAAGACGTACAAGAAGCCATCCTCACAGGCTACCAGCACGTAGGTTGCTCTCTGTATGCTGCCAGGCAACAAACAACAAATCAATGATAATGCAATGAGACCGTAACTTGTTACTTAAAATATTTAGTGCTTTCTATTTCACTGTTTTTATTCGTCAACGGTCTTTGATATGGTGCAAATTAAACTAGTTAGCGGTGTTTCAACATTTATTCATCAAGCCATCAAATTAACAATGCAGCAACTATTAAATGGTTAACAACGCATGTAATATTTCCAAACAGTGATGGTAACAATGTGCAATCTACACTATGTTAAATAACTTCACTACAACTCTAACATTCCTGAAGTGTCTGGTCCTGTGCAACAGTTAACGATGCACAAAACAAAGATTTTGTGCAAGACTGCAGGGAAATTATATATTAACTAATTATATAAACAAGTTTATGGGAAAAAATTATTTTTCAACAAATCGTTAAGAAATAAATACACAATAAAATCATTGAATTTTTCATTACCAAGCGATGGCGCTGACATTCTTGAGACCAGCTTTGTGGAGTCGTGCAACGGCAAAGTCACGTCCCTGGTTTAAAATTTCGGTAACTTGTGTTGGCAGGTAAGAGGCCGATGTCCTGAGGGCCCCACTAAGATAGTCCATCCAACCACCTTGCGACTCTTCTACGGGCCTTCATCAATCACAAATTTTAAATCACAAATTTCATATCTTAATACATTGATTCCTTCATCTAAATTTAGACATGTCGATACATTTTTGAAAAGGTTATACAAAATTTATTGATTCAAATTCACAACATTGGTTCAAGAATTCAAAAAAAAACTTGCAAGCATATTGTAAAAAAACCCAATTTGTTCTTACCAAACCAAAAAAACCATGCAACCATACAATATATAGAAAAGTCACTTGCAGCTGAGACAAGTATGCAAAAATGAAAAGTAGTAGACAAAGTTGAATGAAGCATACAAATATATATAGGTTAACAAAACAAAAACAAACTTCTCATCTTTGGTGCTTTCCAGGTTGAAGATGTGAATGGTCTCCGTGTTGCTGGAACAACAGAGGAAACGAGAGTCTTGACTGAATGAAAGTGAATGTATCGTAGCGCACCTGCATGTTCAAGCGTAATATCAAGTTATTACCAAAAGTTTCCATATTAAGCATAACATCCATGCCATTTTCAAATTCAGTGCTCTTATCTGAGTATTAAAAATCATCAATTTTGTATTACTCTAAACAACGATCAACTAATAGTTTTAATTTAATATCTAAGATAAATAAAATTAACAAGTTTTTCAATTTTTTTCATGGGAATTAAAACCAAAAAATAGATAAAATGATACTAAACAACCTTTTAACTCCTCTTCTGAATTCAAAAATCTTCTGACCATCAGGCAGTGAGAAAACTCTGATGATTGTACCCTGTTTGTTGTTGGTGGTGATGGTGGTTTGTCATTCAACATCCAACATCCAATTCCCACCATTCACACATTTGAGAATATATATATATATATATATATATATATATATATATATTATGAATATTCATTATAATACTCATATATACATACTCAATATTACAAGTGCAAATGATTATAATTTAAAAAATATAACCAAATGAACTGATGTCCACCAATCGTTAAAAAAAAATTTAAAGCTACCAAAATGGAAAGCCAGATGAAAATAATGAAAAATAAAATGAACAATACTTTTTCAGATGCAGTGGCTATCATAGATGAAGATGTACTGAATGCTATGGCAGCTAATGGATTGTCATGGGCATGTATGGTTGTTATATCCCTCTGTCCAATGAAAAATAAATATATAGAGACAAATTCAATTTTATACTACACATCCTCTTAGTGCTTGTTTTTGCTGGAGTAATTACACGTTTACAATACTGAACTCTTAAAACTTTGAGCTTCCAAATCGACTTAATTAATCAATCATTTCCTATTTAAAATGTCCAAATTTATTACTAATTAGATCATCAGACAGGTAGATAGATAAATTTGAAAAAGATTCGTTTTCAAATTTGGTTCGTATTTTTAAAAATTCATCTACATTAGAAAACTTTCGCATTTGACCTCACATAGTTTACAAACTTTTTTATTATATAGCATACAAATTTTAATTGAATTTGGAATTGTCACATAAGTTATTCGAATCAACTGAGTTCAGTCTTAAAGCTCTTGAGTTTAATTTTTTCATCACAAATTTTTCAACTCCATTATCAAAATTATTTTCACCTATATAAAAAAAATGTGACAAATTTTGAGAACAAAAAACTTTGATTAAAGCAATACAAACTATGGTGTCAAAACTACAACAAAAAACTAAAAAGTGAATGAACAAGAACCTGACTGATACAGTCGAAAACATGGACCTCCCCGATGATATTGCTTGAAGGCCAAGCAAGGAAGCAGTTTTCATTGCCAGAGGCTAATGCAAAAAGACCCTTTGGATTGTATGGTATGTTGTTGATGCTGTGCAAGGTTCTCATGTCCTTGAGACCGTGGATGTGTATACTGTCTTCCAAACAGACCACCAACCTCTGTAATATCGCATGTGACTTGCAAAGATATTCAATTATATTATAAAGATGTTGAACTATCATTGAGTATGCATGTGGTTCTGACATATATTAATAAACTAACTACAACTTCAGCCACTAAATAGCATCACATTGTGCCAATAAATTTGAGTATTGTTAATTATTTTTCTCAAAAATATGGAAAAAATATATATTTAATAAACTTGTGAGCAAATATATTAAAAGGTCAATTTTTAAATTTATACCGTTCTGTTGAGCTTGACTCCTAAAATGGCACTAGAATAGCTGAAGTTACATATTTCTTGGGTCTTCTTAAAATGGCATACCCTCAGTTTTCTGGGGGCTGTCAAACTAACTAAAGCCAACAAACTACTGGAAAAAAACCTGTCGATCGCATTGACTTCTGGGGTGTCTGAAAAAATAAGAATATCAAATTGAGCATTTAGCATAGCAAATGAATTATAAATGGAAAACTACTGAAAAATATATGTATACCATCTTCATGCACGACGTCAAACTTGTCGATAGAAGCTAATGACAGTAATCTGTATCCAGTTTTTGTACCAACTGAAATAGCGCTAGAATTTATAATTTTTATTTTATTTAAAAAATTTGTCTTAATCAGCACATTGGACATATTTTAAATAAATATTTAATTAAATAAAAAATAATTGAGCTAAAAATTTTTATTTCAACATTCAAAATTAAATATTAAATGCTGAAGTAAGAAAATAGGCAGCATGATCGTTTCATACACATATGTACCACAAATCAGTAAATAATTAAAATTATTAATTAAGTTACTCGTTACTAAAAGTCTAAAACTAAAAAGCTTAAAAAAACTAACATTAAAAATTAAATGCTTAAGTAAGAAAAATAGGCAGCATGATTGTTGCATGCACATGTGTACCACAACATGCCAAATCCCACAAAAAATTGTTGATTAATATCAATAAATTAAATGTCAATGATTTTTTATTCAAGCCAGTAAATAATTAAAATTATTAATTAAGTTACTAAAAGTCTAAAACTGAAAAGCTTAAAAAAACTGACGAATAATTCTGGTTGAAGTTGAAAAAAAGCAAGTTAGATTCCGACTCGTCAGTCTCAAGGTCTGGAACGGCCGCCGCCATTTTGAAACCGAATCAACCACAAAAACAACGATGCCTAATTTGTAAATCTTTTTTCGAGTCCGTTTGCAAACCTCAACTAATAAAAAGAAAGAAATCGTTGTTTAGGAAAATCTTTTTCAATCATTGTTTAAATTTAATCATTAGTGATGAGCTGTAAAAATAATTTAAATTAAAAATTTTTTACATAATTTTAAATGTTTGAAAATACATTTTAATTTTAATAAATTTTGTTATTAGTTTATATATTTAACTAATTAAATATTTGTTACTTAAAATAAGTATTTTTAAAATTTTACTTTTAAATTTATTTCATAATAAACACACGTATTTCCTGCAAAAAAGTGTTTGATTCTGTCGCTCGGTATCATTTATTAATTCATATAGTGTTTCGGCCTCTGGTAAGTGGTTGATTAATTAGTTTTTTTTAATTAGTAACATATATTATAATTTATTTTTTCAGGTTCCGTTGTCTGCTGAAAATAAAACAGAAATGATTACCGACGTTCAGTTAGCCATTTTCGCCAATTTCCTTGGTGTTTCCTTGTTTCTGTTGGTGGTTCTGTACCATTACGTCGCTGTGAACAGTCCGAAACGATCGGAATGACGACATTTTGCACCTAAATAAATTAATTATTTCTACTATTTCCATTCATAAGTTGGCATGGAATTTTTCAGTTGTACTAGCCATGTTGTCATGTCACCACCCAAAAATTATTTTATTGATTTATTTGTTACATAAGATAAATTATTCAAAAAGAATATCTGTTATCAATGCCAAGATGAGACATTTGAATTTAATCACTAACATTGGTTGAATTTTAGTTTAATTTAAGTCTTAAGATGATTTGAGAATTCATTCATAATTTTTTATTCATGTCATGTCATGTGTCATTTATTTTTAAAATAAGTAAAAAAAATGTTTTCAAATAATGAATAGAATAAATAAACCTTAAATTAGATTTGTTTAGGATGTAACAAGCTTTTGTGTAATCTGTCTACCAAATACAAAGTTAAGAATTCTTTAAATAGAAGCTTTTCTCTTGGAGCAAAGTGCACAACGTATTCCCACGCATTTTTCTGCTAGCTATGTGTGTATGTATGTATGGGTTAGAGTATATAAGTTATGTACCACAAATTGTAGGCATCTAGATGTTATTCAGTATCTACCTTATTTATTGGTTGCCTACCTATTGTGCGAGCTACCGTACTGTTGCATATGTTTTCAGAGCATCATTTATTGTCGAACATTTAATCTTGAGTTTAAAAAATTTGATTGTCATTGGCATGACCATAAATTCTTTGAAGCAATAGGATTATTAGCTTTGTGTGGCAAAAACCTATGTGCTTGTAGTGCATCTGTTTTTCTTCGTCTTAATCGTGTTTGTATGGTATGCGTATTTTTTGTAATTTATCGTATATGAGGCAAGCGTAGGGCTTAATTTTATTAACTGCTAAAACTGCACATTCACGCCAAACGACGCACATAACACTTATCGATCAAGCATCAAGTTATACGTATAAGGCTTTAAACAGATGCTTTCGAACCAGGTCGTTACGCAATAATGACGGCGCAAGGCACAACACTTTCAGAATATGAACTAGCAGTGTTGAGTTAGTCTTAGATTTTCTATATTTATCACCATTAGCATCTTACAGTTTCACAGCAACTATTTTTCGTTAGTTGGCGATTAATTTTAGAAATAACTTTCATTCTAGGCATATGCCTTGATATTGGTAATAAGCTCGCAAAATATAAACGTACATAGAATATAATAATTTGTATAATTATATATGTCAAAAACAACTCAACTAAGTATTTTTCAATCAGTTTTTTCGTGGTGAAGAATGCATATACATTAGGTGTGAGATTAATTTTAGAGGCATTTATTTTATACTTATTTGATGTTTGATGACACACGCACAACAGAACGCACACATTAATTGATTGATTGATTGACGGCGTTTCAGTACGATTATCGGCCATCTTTTTGCCTCTGATTGTTACTGATGTAATCGTTGTTGGTATTTTTAGTTGTTGTTGGCGTCTTTATTTATTATCTTTATTATTGATGTTGTTTTCTTCGACATTAAATTGATGGGTATTTCATTCACATCAAAATAATGTTACGTTAGTTGGTTACCAGAGCTAGCAAGTCAAGTGGCTTCATTGGCCATTTAGAAGAAGCTGCTTCATTCCTAATATACAGTGTGACAAAAATAGATGTTGTAGCTAAAGTTAAAGTGATTTGTAAGAAAAATAACAACAGATAACAGAAGATCTGCAGATTAAACGATGACGAACCATTCAAACGTAATTGTTACTAATTGCTAAAGTCATTCAAGAACAACATTTTTGTTGTATTGTAAATTCATGTTTTTTCATCTTCAAACAATTTTGAAAAGTAAAAAGGTTACATTAGAAAAATATTTAAAAATCATATAAATTCTTTTTAATAAATTGTCGACTGTAATAAAATATGTTTGAAAATCAAATGCGGTTCAGTTTATGCATTTTTTTTATATTTTTCTTATTTGGGATTCATAAAACTGACAGAAGACCAGAACGTTGTTGAGACACGAGAAGGGCTGAACTGCGCAGTGTCGACAGACGACATCAAAGTCAATTTTTGATACAAACTTGCCATTGTTTTTCGAACGACTTTGTCGGACTATTGGCTTCAGAAATTCAAATTCTGAAATGGCCATTGTGTCGTCTTGTTCATCTAAAAAGGTTAAAAAACAAAATCAGTGACTTTTCTCTACCTCATTTTATTTTTTCATCACTTCAATTTTCTTAGTTAAGTAGAGTACACGATTAAAGACTCTATTAATTATTTAGTCATGTCATCATAAGGTTAAAAAGACTTAACGTATAAAAAATATTGAAATTTACATATGTTATGTTATATTATGTTACATTAACTTATGTTAAAGCAATTTTAATTGATAATGGAGAATAAAATGAAATAACGAACCTGCGTCATCATCAGGAAATGATTTAGCGTTGACCAACAGTACAAAACTAACTAGTAAGCCGATCATGAACATGATTGTATATCTTCAAGGAACTTGAATCTTTCTCGAGATAACCTTTTGATCTGTTATTTGTACTTGTATAGGTTTTTATTGGAATTGGAAATAGACATACCTATTTTGCATATATATATATATATATATTTCTAATCTAGATCGTATATATATATATATATATTTTTTTTTCTAATCTAGATCGTAAATTTGGAGATTTTTTATTGTGCGTGTGTCTCTACGAATATGCATTTACAAACACACAGACACACACACACATACATACACACACAACACACATATTGTTTCGCATTATACTTAACTATAAAACAAGAAGGTTTAATGGATATGTTCTTTAATTCTTGCGTACCAAGGTCTTAAGTGGGTTTATCGGATTAATCAACAAAATCCAAGTGGACCTTTTTTTCATTTAATTACTTGTACATTTCTTCATTTCTTTTTCTATACATTGGTGCACTTTTAAAAGCATCTTAACTTTTGGGCACAGTTTTATAGCATAGTGGTGGTTCGTTGATTGATATACAAATATCTTTCTGGTTTAATTTAAATCCAAACTTAGCTCAACTCTTCTCTAATTAATTAGTTCTTTTTATAAGATTACTGTCACTCTGTTATGTTAAGTTCTAGTTACTAAAATAAGTCTGATTTGATTTCATTATTTCATTTATTTATTCTCTAAAAAAACTTTACTAAAAAAGCCAAAAAGGACTAAGACTAAAAAAAAGTAAATTTTTAAAAATTTAAATCACAAGATTCAATTTTCATTTTGTAAAAATTTTAAATATTCTACACTACTTCAACTCAAATTTGTACAGTGTACTACAATTTAATGAAACATTTGATGAGTACATTCACACTTTTGAAGAATCAATTTAATATTAATTTTATACTAGGTAGGTAAGCTTTTTTCATTTCATTTCTTTGCAATTTAATTTAATAAACAAATGAACATCTAAATAAATTAAATACATTGAATTTTTAATTTTTGAAATTGTATTAATTAATTGAATTAATTGTGAATAGTGAAAATATATTGTGATCGCTATATTATAATATGTATGTTTGTTATATATATATTGTATATATATATATATAATAATAAATACATAATATGTTCATGCATACATACAAAGTACAAACTTTATATGAATATTTTAATTTATTCATATTTCTCTATACATTTTGCATGAATGAAGCAACATTACCAAGACATCTCTCTTCCTCAAGTGCCAGTAACATTGGTTATGATGTTTTGTATCCCGGGCACATTCCTACAAATACATTTCAAAAATTTTTGTTAGCATTTGGATCATCTGCCATCACCTTGTTCAACCCCAGCAGAGGAGGTGACTACTGCCACTTCATCCTTATCAGTGTCATTATCACTTTTATTATCATTGTCATTGTCACATATTATTTGCTCGTTTCATCATCAACATAGTTGTTGAAGTATAAAAATAACGACTCCACCATCATCATTTTGTGTGTCACCATCATTATCACAATGTTTTTATGTTTATGTAATTCAATGTTCAGTAATTGTAATATTTAATTGTAAATTTTTTTTTTTCATTTTGACTCCAACATTATATCCCAACTGAAAATATTTCAACAGACTAAGTTATTTTCCAAATTAATAGTCACTGAAATAAACTTAAAAACTTTCATATTCTGATAATATTAATATTTGCAATAATTAAGACTGAAAAGCACTATTTGTTTTTAATATGTAATATTTATTTTTATTTATTATATTTGTTATTATTACATAATAATTCCAAGACATGTTGGCTTTGTTTGGTGAAACATCTGGCGCCTGCGCCCTGCAGAGGATGAAGAAGAGGATGGAGCAAGATGAAGAAGGAAGACTCATTTTGAGGTTGTAAGCATCAAATTTGATTACTTCTACTACTACTGCTGCTTCTGTTGATGCTGATACTACTACTACTACTACTACTACTGCTGCTGCTACTACTACTACGACTATTACTACCGCTACTGTTACTACTAATAATAATAATTTGTAAGTATTTGATTTGACTCGAATATAGAGAGAAGCCAGTGATTAATACAGGCACAGTTGATTTAAACAAATTGAAGGAACTGTCAGATGGAACCTTTGGGAGGGTTTATCACGACTGGCTGAAACCTAATGTAATTATATTGTGTTTTTAAAAATAAATTTATATTATTCACATAATGATATTTCAATTTTTATTTTCACTATATATTGCGGACCAATTGTGTTTTTCCACATTAAGTTACTAAAGTAAATGATGAACGAATTGTTAACACTAGCAAGCGCACCCTGATGAAAGACTTCCCGTTCAATTTGTTGACGATGCTGAACTTGCTTACGTCATGCAGAGATACAGAGAGATACATGACATCACACATGTTATCCTGGGTATGAACACTAACATGATCGGTGAAGTCACTGTCAAACTCTTTGAAGGTATTCAAACTGGTCTACCAATGTGCGTCACTGGTGGAATTTTTGGCACGTGGAGACTTGGTCCCAAGTTAGTTCATTCAGTTGCACTCTCATTTATCAAATTTGATGAAACGTATTTATTTGATCTATCTAACGTTACATTGATCCACGTTCCATACAGACATATGAAGTTGTATTTTGACACGCACTTCAAGTATGCTATTAAGCAGGGGTTCAACGCTAAGTCCTTCATGAATGTATATTTCGAGAAATACTGGGAAATGAACATTGATGAACTAAGAAGTCTTCTAAATGTTGACAAACCACCCTACACTCCTAAAAAGAAAAATATTTATTACCAAAAGTCAAATTAATTTTTTTAATGTTATTAAAATGTTTTTTTAACTTCAGTTTGGTTTTTTCAGCTTTTGTTTTCTGCAGGTGTTCGAAAATTCGATGATGATGTTTAGGAATAGAACTGCGATTGGCCTTAATGTTCGAGGGAAGGCGTTTGCGCCATTAAATTGCAATTTAATTAGCTGCGGAGAATATTATCTAAAAGTAATTTGCGTAACAACAATGTTGCTTTCATTTCCAATAAAGTTTTTAATGCAAAAAATTTTGTAGAATACCATGAAATCGGTCAGTGCCATAGATATATATGTCCATGGTCAGTTCTGTTCGATGTTTGTTAATTTTGAAACCTGACAATAAAATTTAATCTTTGTAATGTTTTGTCTATGTAAATATTGTAATAGGCGATATTTCGGTAACCAGCTATGTGCAATTTCGAAAAAAATTTGTAGAAGACATCGGGGACTTTTTAATTTATGACAATTTTATATCTTTAGTTTTTTTGTTTCAATTATAAATATACAAATGGAATCAAATTCAATGAGTGTTGCCGACTTCATTTTGGAAAAGGGGTCTTTTTTCAGCAAGGTTTGGTCACCAAAAAATTTTTAACAATTATAAAAAAAATTTCTTTTTAAATATAGTAGAAGACTTGGGAGTTACACTAAAATCAAAAAGTGTTTGAAATTCAATTATTTGTCTTTTAATTTCAGATTCCCATGTTGATGAATGCAACGTTGGACAATCCAAATCCAACCCCTGGCTATCTGCTCAATGAAATCAATGGTTGCTAAATTATATAAATAAATATATTATGTGTATATGATGGTCTTGTTTTAATTTTAATCATATCAATTAACATAATTAATTAATTATTAATACAACTGTCACTTGAAATAAGATAGTCATCATTTATTTTATATATTAATAAATAAATAAATAAATAATAGTATAATTCACCATTACTTATTTATTCTCTGTTTTTATTATTTATTACATAATTATTATACTTATATGTTAGTCTAGTTGGTTATTTTTTGTCTCACTTCTGTGTTATTTATTTAAATGCTTTTTTGTTCAAGGTTGAATCTTGTGAAATCAGAGTAATTTTAATTACTGACATTGTAATATACTTATTAATATAAATTAAAATTAGCAATATAATTAATATTATTTTAAAATATAATGATCACATGACAAAAGAGGTTAACAACACACATATTCCCTTGTTTGATCCAGATATGACATATCGGTACATGAACACCTGTTATGATCTTGTGGATTGGTTGAATAAAAGGCTATCTAAGAAGTCTCAATGGATCAAGTTTAAGGCTAGTTGAAGTTCATTCATTCATTTGTCTTTTTCATTCATTCATTCATCCATTCATTCATTCATTCATTCATTTATTCATTCATTCATTCATTTTATACTCTTTTCACAAGTATAGTTAACAAATGTGTAAATTAGGCTGATAAAAGTATGAATGTGTAAACTTTTTTATTGAATACAAAATATTTATTCATTCAAAAATTTTTGTTTTCACTAAAAATTTTGTGTAAGTTCATATTTTCCAATATGAGCCACATGTTCCTTCGATGTTTTTGTTAGATACAATTTGTTGGCACTTTTGTTTTGTTAATAAGATATCTGTCTGATGGTTACGATGCATTAGGTGCTGAAAATCATGAAGCATCTCATTGAAAAAGGACATGCAAGTTTCAGGGATAGTTTAAGAAAAAGCTCCACACTAATTAGTGAAACAACAAGTAGGTAGTGAGCTAGGCGAGTGGTTCTTTCTTTATAATCATTTTGTTATTATTACTTCAACAATTATCAGTCATGTTTTCTTTATTGCTTTTTTTGTGCTGTTGAATCATTTATTTTGTGGTGTATAATTATTATTATTAATATTATCATATATTTATTTTATGTATAATTTAGTTTAAAAAATCCTATAAATAATTATTTTTTTATTAGAATTCAACGTACATGCTCATTCATTGCTTGGAGTGACTACCTGCCAGCAAATTAGAAGTGAAGCCAAGGTTGTACACTTACAATCATCATCATTATTATTCTCATTCTTCAAGTTTTAATTGTGAACAAACACCTAAATGAATGAATAAATGAGTGAGTGAATGAATGAATGAATAAATAAATGCATGAATAAAATTTTCTTATTATCTAAATGGTGTCCTTCCATTTTAAAACATTGAAAATAAAATTTGGTCTAGAATGGAGGCATAGTGATGAAACACTTTGTAATAAACTTTTTCCTGTCACAATATGTAGGAGATATTAAGAATTCTCTACACCAATGATGAAGACAGGGGAACTGCAGCTGGTGATGATGGAATTGATGGAGGTGGCGGTGGTAAGGGTTGTGGTGGGGGTGGGAGTGGTAGTGATACTCAGAGGATTTCAGATCAAAAAGGTTGTTGTAGATTGATCTATTGATTGAATTTCTTTTGCGTTCTTAAAATATTTTAATTTTTTGAAAAATAAGTTCTCATCATGAGGTTTTTGTAGGGTTGAAATAATTTTTAGTTGGCTATTTAGTTTCATTTATATTGCATTATTTTTTACCTGCAACTGTTTTTAATTCCTCATCCAATTATATCTTGTTATTTAATTTATCAACTAACTTCAGCGATTTTTTCATTCTGCTTATTCATTTTAAACTCACAATCAATGAATCTTTCAATCATTCGTTCATTCAGTCGTTCATTCATTCATTCATTCATTCATTCATTCATTCATTCATTCATTCATTCACTGTGCCAATAGTGTACATAGGCATAGATTCAAGAGCAGTTACAAATTCAACTATCATGGGCTTTGGCCACACAATGCCCATCCACAGTTGGTTCATCCTACTTTTTATTCATTGTTAATTTTTTTTAGTTTGTTTCCATTTTGTATTCTCTCTCTCTTTCTTTTTCTCTTTCTCTCTCTTTCTGTTTCTCTCCGTCTCTGTCTCCAATTAATCAACTAGGTTTTAATGCAGATGAATTGATGCATAGATGACTGAACGAATGTCTGGATGAATGAATGAATCAAAGAACAAACGAAGGTACGAACAAACAAATTAATGAATGATGAATGAATGAACGAACGATTATGAATAATTAACAAAAACTAAATCTCCGTCATAGGGGCTCTACGTCCATCAAAAACTTTAAAATAAAATTTTTTCCTGTTTACATTTCCAAAGTTACAATGTTAACCGCATCATAATGCGTTTTTTGTGTGTAACATTTCAAATACTTAAGCCATAATACCGCCACTAGTGCCATCTCTATAAATGACGTCACCATCTTTACGACCACGTCATCACATTAACTAATTCATTTCGTCATCAATGACCTTTGACTGACCTCATTAAGTTCATGGCATTTTCGACGTCCCATCTACATCATCAACACTGGCATCGTCACCACAGATCTTATCACCATTTTATCTTCACTATCATCATCATCATCATCGCCGTCATCATCGCCGTCATCATCGCCATTTCCATCTAGATACTTTCAGTAACCTGGTGTACAACACGATGTCTGATCTGGCCGACAGAGTGGTAGAAATGACGTCAGGCAACAGAGAGCCAATAACATTCTACGATTCACGTGATACTGGTCTACATGCAGGTCTGTTGTTTGCATGTGTTTGGTGCAGTTGATGCCATTTGTATTTGCTAGTTTTGTAATTATTATTATTATAAATATTATTAATATTATTAACCATTTCCCATTATTTTCTTCTTTAAATTTCCTATCTTATTCAATTTTAATTGACAGCTTCTAAAGCTAAAAATACACCTTCTGATGGTAATACTACCACAACTACCACAACGCCTACTACTGCCATTGCTGCTAATACTGCTGCTGCTGCCGCTACTACTACTGCCACTATTGCTGCTACTACCACCACCACAGCTGATGTGGTTGATGATGATGATGGAGAGATGGGAAATGTTGTAAAAAATGAATTTAGGTTTGAATGAATTTTGTTATATTTGGAATCTATATAAATGGAATTGTGCGGTCGTAAGTGTGCCTTTAATAGTATTTCATATGTGGGATTAAGATTTAGGGATTTAATAACAGGTATATACCATGAATGAATGAATGAATGAATGAATGAATGAATGAATGAATGAATGAATGAATGAATGAACGAACGAACGAATGAATGAACGAATGAATGAAAGAACGAATGAAAGAACGAATGATAGATAGATTATTTTTCCATACAGTTCTTTAGAAGAAGAGATATTGCTTATGAATTACCTCAGATCAACTGCAGACTACCAAAACATTAACAAACAACTACATGAAATTATTGGCAGGTTGATGTTATTGGCGTTATTGTTGTTGTTATTGTTATTATTAACAACATCAACAACAACAATAATAATAATAATAAGCCTTATAATGCATTAGGCAGAAGATAGCTACGTGATAGATGTTTTATCATAGGTTACTTTGCTGTAGTGCAATGTTTAATGTTTCTCCAAAACAAAAACAAATTAATCGTTGTTTATATAAAAAAAATCTATGCTCTATACATCTGTTGGTTGATACGTTTAGAAATGTGATACTTTGTTTCTACATTATTCATGCGTTCATTTGTTTGTTCGTTTGTTTGTTCGTTCATTCGTCTGTTCGTTCGTTGTTTTTTTTATTAATTCATCATTTGGTCATTTACTCTTTGCTTCGTTATGTTGATATTTATTTATGAACAAACTCGCTAATAGATTCATTCACACACTCACTCATTCGCTCATTCACTCACTCACTCACTTATTCACTTACTCACTCACACTCACTCTCACTCACTCACTGTCCTAACTTAATGATTACACGATATAATACATAATGCAGCCACGGTAAGGATGCTCTAATCTTATTTATCAACAACCGCCTGTCCAAGATGCATAAAAAACATCATGATGATGATGGTGATGGTGGTGGTGATGACGACAACGGTGAAGAAGATGACGATGCAGTCGAAAATGATGATAGCGATAAGGTTAGGAAGTATATTCAAAATCAAAATGCACACTTATTCACTTTAATGACACGGTGCCTATATTTTCCTACCATCGTCACTATTATGTATATTGTACACAGCACACGCGCGCACACACATGTACGTATATATTCTACATATACACACTCGTAGCTAAGGCATATAAAACATTAAACATGGTTCCAACGGAAAGTTGCAAAGTGAATTAGGTTGTGCTACTAGTATTCTGTGCAAATTATGTGCGTGTGTGTCCGTGTGCATATGTATGCCTGCATGTGTGCGTGCGTGTGTGTGTGTGTTTACGAAAGTGTTATTGTATGCAGTGTATGCTGTGTGTGATTGTATGCTCCAGAAGGGGCGTGTATATGCTAGTGTGTGTATGTGTGTGTGTGTGTGTGTGTATTAATATATGTATGTTAATGAGCCGCGTGCATTTTTACGTTCTATGAATGAAGGAATGTAGGAATGTTTCCATGTGCTCATTGGTTCCAAGTTGGCACAATTATCTCGGTTGATAGCGTAACTTCAAATCGGCAATCATTATCTTTCCACAACATTGCATCGAGATCAGATTTATTATTTTCATATTTTTTAATTCTAATCTCCTTTTGGACTTAATTCCCGAAATGACTCGTACGTTTTCAGAAGCTGTTGTTACTGATAGAAAGCTTGGTGAACTGTTCACGCGACGTTCAGCGCATAACAGACGCGTGTTCTTCCAATGTTTATCATTTGTATCGAGGACATCAATCTGTAAAAGCAAAAAAGGCAAGTCAAGCTATCGTAGCTAACAGTTAACCTCGTTTGCAGAGTTTCTTAGAAGCTGTTGTGTCGCGTTTTGTTGAACTGCGCGTCCAGTTTTCGTTCTTTAATGAAGTAAATTTAATGATAATGATAATAATAATTAAAACTCCCTTATTTCAGAAAATCAGTGGCATAAAATATAAAATAGGATAAAATATGGTCATTGTCAAATAATTAAATGCACAATAAAACTCCATTACTCGTTATCCATAATAAGTGCAGTTAGGTGACATATTTAAACGGTTATATAATGTTTCTGTCGCAATAGATGGCGTAATAATATTATTAATAATAATAAGTACAGATTAAAATAACACAAACCATTTTGGTTATTCATTTATTTCAGGTGCTGTTAATCATGGACAGGCTCTCTCATCTTCCAACAACGATCAGAATAAATTAATAAATTCAACCACACAATTGAAATTTATCAAAATCAATAAAATTAATTGTAATAAAAACGAATGGTTAAAAATAACAGTATTTATCGTAGTGGAAATAATAAAATATGAGTTTGTATTTGTGTTTGAAGCGTACAGTTTTCATTTTAGCAGCATTCTCTTCATGTCATTTTTTATATTCTTTGTTTAAATGTCTTTCAACGCATTCGTTGCATTATAATGTTCACAATTGTAAAGAATAAAATGTAAATCTCGCTCGTTTCTTACTTCATTCAACATCTTCTTAACTTACGGTTTCACATAAACCTTAAAAAACAATCTAGAAGAATTTTGCCAAGTTATCAGCAAACATTGTTAGTATGATATGGTAGTCTAAATGCTTTTTTTGTTTGTACATTTTACTGGATCTCAATCGTTACGATGAAAAATAAAGTTTCCATTTCTCCTACTGTTCTCGCGGTATGCGTCGTCTATTAAAATTTCATCGGATTACATTTTGACGTGAGGTGATGCATTTATTTTTGAGAATTTTACGTGAACACATGCTGTCCTTTGAAAATTAAATTTAAAATTAGTAGACTGGTGTCCTTCTGGATCATACTAAGGTTTGCATAAATTGCGTTCGGATGGCAGAACGAAAGCTGGTTCCTGAGACGTACGCTCTCTTTATTCAACGTGAAGAATAATCTGGACCGGGTATACAGCAGAGAGTATCGCTGCAAATGGTGTTCTAAACATGTATGTGTTAGAAATGGTTATTATGCTGCGGAAATCATTTCCTTGAGAGAACCAGTAAGTCTCGTACAAACGTCTGACTATAATAAATCTTACAGCTACAAGCGTGTTCTCAAAGCTTATATAAACTGTTTCTATGCAACTTATAAGATCCAACATATTGGCATACCTCACCGTTAATAACCATACTGATAAGTCTGATTTTATACCAAAATTAAATGAACAGATTAAATATATTTAAGCGGAATGTTGTTTAAAAACTTTCCGGAAAATTTTAAGTCTGAAAAGCATGTTGATATTGTATGCGTATAAATAAATGAACAAACAAAAATAATATATATATATATGTGTGTTTGTGTGTGTGTGTGTGTGTGTGTGACTGCGTCTGTCTGTGTGTGTATTGTAATATAAAATGTGAAAGTAATTTTTTTTTTATTATGCATGATTTATTTTTGAGAAATACAATAAAGCAATAGAAGAAAGATATATGCGATTAAAAGTAAATAAATAAATAAACACACACACACACACACACACACACACATATATATATATATAATATTATATATATATATATATATGTAGGTGTTTACGTGTATAAAGGATACAAGCATAAACATGATGGTAAATAAGAAATAAAATGAGGAAAAGAGAAGGTGCAGCTCCTGATGCAGCTCCTGATGCATGCATGCATCAGGAGCTGCACATGAATGAATACTGCAAACTGATGGTAAACGCATGCTGTTGAAGTAATAATGACTAGTCAATCATTGATTCATCTGAGTTTCTGTTAAGACTATTTATTGAAAGAAGAATTTAAAATTAGATGTGACTGAGGTGTAGCATTTTGTGAATATTTATACATAGTGAAGTGTTTTTTAATACTTAAAATTATATACACGGAATTCTACATTTTTACAATATGGTTTCACATGATATCGATTTATCAAAGTTTCAATACGTTAGCCATTCTGGTAAACCACCAATTTTTTCAAGACTAACGTTGCAAATCACAATGGCCACGAATCTTTCTTCATAAAAGCTGTCTGTAGTTACTTTTTTTGAAAGCCTTGCTAATGTCGGCGTTGAAGACTCGCTGATCCTCCTCATCCGTAAATTGGGGCATCAGTTGATAGAGAGATCGGAAGACTAGAACCCTCTCTGTGAATGAGCTGAGTGCTGACTTGATATCTTCTTCTTTTATAACCTGCTTCTTTGACATGTCGATTAACTCTATGTCGTCACTGACGTTGTGGTTGTCGTTAAGTTTTTGGCTTTCTGTCTCATCGACGCTTCTCACGTTACTCTTATTTGCAGCGCCCACATGATTTGAAGACAAAGACGTTATAGGGATTTTATCTCTAAACAAATTTGCATTAACAACGGTGATGATGACAATTTCTTTTGATCTGTTCTTTGCCAATCCTTCGGAAATAGCAGGATTCTGTAAGAACGAGTTTTCGCGATAACTTTCTTGAAAAACAGAATCAAACGATTTTATGTTGAGCAATCCATTCAAAGGGCAAGCCTTCAAAACCGTTCTGAATATTCTCCTTTTTGTCATCTTAACATCTTTTTTACCATTCACTGGAACTTGATGGGAACAGTGAAATCTCGGTAGAATAAGGATTCTATTCAACATTCTTGCGATGGCTAACGCTCCTTTCAAAGCTTCCATTTCATATGTTATAGTGACGTTGGTGTTAGGCCATGTTGATGGGTTTGAATAACTCATGTACATGTTTGTAGGGCTGGAATAATACTCATCCTGATCATACACCCACATCAGATGTTCTTTAAATCTGTAAATTTTCGCTTCTTTTGAAACGATCCAGTTGTTATGAAGCACCATGCAGTCCTGACATGGAGATGGGTAGAGTCGGTTGCCATTTTCAAAGTACTCGAGACCGCAGAGGAACCTATTTAACAAATGATATGTAATGTTTTATGTTCTCTGCAGCTGATTAAAACATCAGAAATGATACAAGATTTGTTAGTTCTAAATTAATTAAATACACATATATACATCAATAGGTACACATACGTATAGGCATAACTCTGGTTATACATTTGAATAAGAATAATAAGAATAATAACAAAACTAGATGTAGAGTAGGACGCTGTTTATCTTCACCCATTAACTCTGTGATACTCATAAATATTATATACAATAACAATTGTACAATGTATGTATATGTACATATATGTATATGTATGTATATATATATGTGTGTATATATATATATATATATATATATATATATATAGACTATTGAAGAATTAGTCATTGTCGACAATACAATTTCTTTTAATAATATTTAATTATTGCGATATATCAGAGGATTAATAATAATTATTGATTTTAAACTGTGCTGTACAATCTAATAACGACAATAATAATCAACTCTGTGAAAATGATAATGATGTAAATATGCGTAGGTATAAAGTACGGACAAACCTGTTTGGGTCTAAAATTTTGACTTTGAAATTCTTATAACGCCTGGATACAGAGGAGATGGCTTTGTTGAGAGCTGACTGGTCATCAATTTGCGGAGAGTAATCTGTTATTTGTTTCATTTGGTTGTAGACTTTCAGCGAATACTTGGTTGGTTTGATGCAGATGAAACCAGCATTGTAGACCGTGTTGTCCCATAGAGATGCGATATCATGTTCACCCATTATCACCTTCATTATTTGTTTATTATCGTTTCAAATATTTATTCAATCGTTAACTGGTTTATATTTTAACATACTTAAAACTGAATATAGCAAGCAAACAGATGAAAGTGTAATTTTCAATACTGATAAAACAATAAATATGGAGGAAAAAGTGTCAGTCAATAAGAAATCAATAAATAAATAATCAATAATTCGTTCGTTCATTTAACATTTTCATTTATTATTTATTCATTCATTTATTCGTTTGTCCATAAAATTGATTAATTATAGCAGCGAATTAAATTTGTTACTGTATGCACGGTATTCATATAAGAAATTCCAACGTAAGATTAAAAATTAAAACTTATAATTCACACAAAGTCAAAAACCCACTTTTAATTCAGGAAGAGGATTTTGAAAGAACATCACATCGAGATCCGTGTGAAGAACGGTGTACCCTAACGACAGAGCATCCAACACCATATCCGTTCGTAGATTCATTTTCCTTATGAAGTCTGGACTGTTCCAGACGCTTGCAACTGAAGCAGTTTCGTCGGTTGAGTAATGATAACACGGCAATGACTCATTCGCTAAAATCTCGCAAGATTTCAGATCACCTCCCATGAATAAAAAATTTTCAATAGCATTCGGACGAAAACTTTTCCAATATAGATTCAACGCCATATCCGTGAAAGAGGAGTCGACCATGGCCAGAATGATGTACTTGTCAACGCTCGCCTGGTTCGCTATGGCCACTGCGAGTTTGGGATCTGGACAGCGTTTGATGAAGTCGTAGATGGATATGTTGGCGCTCAGTTCGTACAAAACGTAAACTGTTAATATTACAAAGCATAGGATGTAACATTTTTTCGATCCGTGGGGAGTACGTGCAGATGAGTGTACATGGTCGTAGAGAATTTTTTTACGTTTTAAATTCATAATGAGATCTTTTTTAGCGGTACGATAATACTGTCCTGAATACGAATTTCCCGTCATCGTCAATAAGAATTAAGTTACAGCATCAAAATGTACAGCGTTATTTTATTTTAATCACAAAAAATGTCGTGTTCTTGAATGTATACATTAACATCTGTAAGCATTAATAATAGGATGATTTTGCATGCGTGCGGTCACTGCAAATTACCGCATCATAGGCAATACGACGAGGCATGAATAACACGGTAGGCACTATGCCATGTATAACATGCAGTCCAATTCGATGCCAACATTACATATGAATATTCTCCTCATTTTTCACGATCTCTCGTTTTCATCCCCGCTTGGTTCTCAGCTCCAACCTCTCACAGACATCATTATCTCTATTGTTTTTGATGCAAGGTTATTTTCTCATATAGGATAGGTAAATTTGGTGAATCAATGAAAAAATCAAACAAACAACAGATGTCTATTAGCCATTACATATATCTACGCATAACCATAAACACACACAAACACACACACACATAAACACATAAATAAGAAAAATCTCATCATCTATGTTAACATTCTAGATCATACAAACATACCTGTTTTGACCCTTCGTCGAATTTTGGTTTCTTAGACTCGGCATTGATTGAGAGTGCTTTTAAACATAACGACAACGATGATATTGCTGTACTGTGTACATTTCTGTACTTATCTTTTATCTACCAACTGTTTTAACTTTTGATCAATATGCTGGTAAGATATTAGTCTAGAATATGACGGCTACTCCATATTTGAAAATTTTATCTCGACGCAGAAAAAAAACGTATTTTAATCTATTGCTTATGTTAAACATGACATGACAAAAGCAAAAAAGACTACATCGCATAGCTTCAGGGTCGCTTGGATAAACAATGACTTTTAACGTTTCCGTAAGCCTGGATAAACAAAAAGTTCTTTATTCGTTTCCTAAAAAGTTTGATGGTTGGCTGTTGACGTACGATGGCAGGCAAACCATCCCATATGGAAGGAGAGCTGTATGTAAAACATTTGTTGACAAGTGATGAATTGCTGACAAAAAATAACGTAAAATTTATGACTTAACTCGAGCTACTTTGAAATACGATTGTATTTCTGGATATGCTATGGACATTGCGTTTAGTAGTTTGTTCACAATATTCACAACCTCTATGTAACCTCCATGTTATGAAGTTTAAATCTATTTAAGCTTTAAGATAATATAAACCTAGGTTAAGTAGCTGAGTTGGTAATAGTGAAATATATAAATTTATTTGAGATCATTTTATAGCCTTAGTTAAATAAACACTCATTTGCTAAGTCTGCTTTTACTTCTTTTGATCTGGAATTATTTTTCGACTTCTCTTGCTATTCTTAACTTAGTCACTTCAAAACTTTTAGAAAAGATTTTAAAAAGTATTTATATTCTTTATGTTTGTTGGGCAGCGTTATTAAATTCTTATTAAATGATGCTATCGAGTGCAATTGAACGATTGATCTGCTCGATTACATATTTTTATGGCTCGACCGGTTAAAATATCGAGCTTAACGGTATCTGTAACTATCTGTAACTCTGGTACCGACCATGTCAGTCAAACCCTAATTTGCATGGCTGTCTTTTCTGATTCAAAATATTAAAGAAACCATTTATTTATCGCAAGAAATTTGTTAATATTTTAATGGACGACAATACGCTTTATTGCATTTGTCGTAAGCCCTATGAATCTAATCAATTTATGATCGAATGTGATGTGTGCAATGATTGGTTTCACGGAAAGTTAGTGTTTCGTTTCCAGTTCATGCTGTAACTCAATTAAATTAAAAAAAATAATGGTAAATTTTTGAACGATAAATAAATTTCCTATTTTTATTAATTATCATAATTATGTGTATAACAGTTTTTGAATATATTTACTGTACTCACCACATAGATGTGTTGGAATTAAAGAACAATCGGCCAGTGACATCGAATTTTACCACTGTCCAAACTGCCAAATCACACACGGACCCCTGATTCGTAAATCTTATCTTTGTGTTGCCAAGATTTATATAATATATATATAAATTGTATTTATAATATATAAATAATATAATTATTTTATTTTATATAATTTCTTTTCTTACTTTACTCTTGATACCCTGTCAAATATATAAAAAAGTTTGTTATAGTCTTTTCTTTTAAAGAGCAAAAATAATCTGTTGTTTGAATGTATTTTTTAAAAATTGAAGTTCTTTCAAAATTATTAATTGGTTATTTAATTTCTAATAATAATATAACAATTTAACCTTCTTCAGTAAAAAAGAAAAGAAGCACACAAAGAGTTACTCACAATCCGAATTATTCTGAAAATGAGAGCAAAGTTGTATTTTAAAATAAACTGCTGGTTTAGAGATGAGTCACTTAGTAACACGTTATGTTTAAAATTTTACAGAACTTCCAAACTGGTTCTTTGCCATTTGTTACTGAGCTCAAACAAAGAACATTTACAAGGTTCATTATATAATTAAACTATTTTTGTGTAAAAAGACATGTTTGTCTTTTCTATACCATTCGTGTGGTTTCATTATTTTTAAGTACTTCTTATTTATGCCTAAAAGAAGACAGATATTAAGTGATTTTATAGCAAAGATAAGAATTTTCTAAATAATTGAGAAACATTAAAAAATTCTTTCAGTGCTGATGAAATACCATTGTGTCGACTCAGTGGATATGGAGTTAATGTTGATTATTTTGAGAAGTATGGCTTTGATTCTCCATTATTAATTGCTAGAAAAGATGGACTCAACATTAAACTACCACCACCAACAATTACAGTGAAAGATATTGAAAATTTAGTCGGTTGGTCATTGTTCAATATTGTTCATGTATTTCTTTATACCTAATGAATTGTTTGATTAAATTAATATTTATTTAAAGATTTATGTTTTCTAGATTTATGTTATTCCCAATGATGAGCAATTTTATTAAATATCATTTAATGAACAATAATTATAACCTTCCGGTATATTCACTAACTCATTCACTGGCACGAATGTATGTATCAGTTAATTTCTCTGACAGGCCCCATGCAAGAAATAGACGTCATTGATGTGGCCAGGCAGGGCGACTGCAGAATGTTGATGAGAGAGTGGACCGAGTACTACAACAGTTCAGACAGGAAGAAGATTTACAATGTCATCAGCCTGGAGTTCAGCAGTACTAGGTTAGCTGATCTAGTGGACCCGCCTCAAATCGTACATCAGTTAAGTTGGGTCGATTCTTACTGGCCGTCGCACACATTCGAGTGCTACAACATTCCCTGCAGGCCAAATGTCCAAAAGTATTGTTTGATGGGCGTCAAGAACAGTTATACAGACTTTCATATTGATTTTGGGGGTACCTGTGTTTGGTACCATGTTTTAAGGGTCAGTACTCTGGCTTCTAAATTGCGATTTTAGTTTTTTTCTTTTATTTTAATTTTTTTTTAAATATTTTTATAATATGATTTTCTTCACATATTATTATTGAAGTGTTCTTTAATGCAAACTACAATAACCTATATGTAAATATAATTTTATGGTTATAATCAGGTTGTTGCAGAAATTGATTCAAAGATTAATTCACTAAAACTATTTCAGTATGATAGGGTTTAAAAATAAATAAATAAATGGATCATAACGAAAATAAATAACTATATTCAAACTGTCTGCTTAGGGTGAGAAGGTTTTTTACTTGATCAAGCCAACACAAGCCAACCTGGTTTTGTATGAAAGGTGGTTGTCATCGTCCAATCAGAGCGAAACATTCTTCGGGGACCAAGTCGATGTTTGTTACAGGTTTGTGTCGTTATGTGTTTCCTAACTGGTGCAAATTTTTTTCTATATGGAAGTTATTTCATGTAATATAAAATTATTTATTTTTATTTAACCAAGTCGTTATTTTTTTTTGTTAAGTTTATTTTGGGCAAATGTCGTGAAATAATTTGGTTTATTCTTGTGGTGTGTTTGTTGAAAAAGGATATTGCCAATTATCTAACTTAAACTTTTGCCAGAACTTTATATTGATGTTGTATGTGTAAGAATTATAACTGTATGTCTTTATTTATTTTTTAATTATGTACATACAGATGTACTTCAATGAGTCATTAAAAATTAATTCTACAATATCATACAGTGCCTATCTTATATGTTGTGTTGGCATACAGTTTCATAAACATGTGTTTGTCTTATAATTAAATCATACATACTAATCAATCAAACAATCGATCGATACATCGATCAATCAATCGATCAATCAATCAATCAATCAATCAATCATTCAATCAATCAACCAACCAATCAATCAACCAACCAATCAATCAATCAATCAATCAATCAACCAATTAGATGTACGGTGAAGCAGGGTGAAACGTTATTTCTCCCTTCTGGTTGGATCCATGCAGTCCTGACACCTGTCGACTCTCTGGTCTTTGGGGGCAACTTCCTATCTAACTACAACATTGGCATGCAGATCAAGTCAGTATCAACTGATCATCCATCATCTGCAAAGTTATAAAGAGCCTAACCCAAAACATACAGACACAAGACACTCACACACCTCCTCCTATATAGAAATTTTCTAGATAAAATATCATATAAAATGCTTATAAAAATGAAAAATTTAGATTAAAGAATGGATACACTTTTTGGACTTTATTCAAATTGCAGTATAGTTGAGAGATAGCTGTACGCTAAATTGTTTTTACGCCACTCCATTATACCATGCTCATGGATGGATAGGTTTCCATTGATGAGATACTAACGTCTTTGCTAACATCATCAGCAGTTATTGTAATGATTAGCGGATAAGAAGTTTAAATGCAGGAAGATGTCAATCACTAAATCACCAGAAATTACTTTTTTTATATCAGTACATGCATCTTGGTTCATTTACATTTATTATGTGTGCATGCGTGCGTAATGTATGTTTTTTAATATATTTGCTATATTTGGTTCAATTTAAAATTTCCCCACCAGAGTTTATGAGATTGAAAAGCGAGTAAAGACCCAGTATAAATTTCTTTACCCATATTTTGAGACAATACATTGGTATGCTGGGTATTCTCTCTACAATCGTATTCAAGGTTGGCTGGCTGGTTTGGTTGGTTGATTGATTGATTGATTGTTGCAAGTGGTTGTTTGGTGTGGTTGGTGGATGGTTTGCATAATTTGATTGGTTGACATTTTTCTTTACAGCTATCGTTTTTCGTTTATGCGTCAGTTCTGCCCAGTGATTTTTCAAGCGTATTGTCATTTTCATTATCACAATGCTACCCTTTATATTCATAATTAACCACATTACTGCTCTTATTACCATAATTTTTAATCATCTATTTATCCTGACTTCAATCTCCATTCCTTTTCATAGCCCATTTTACAAATACAAACAAACAAACAAATGAACAAGCGAACAAACAAACATCAAAAGCCTGTCTAGAGAACAACGAGAAGGTTCCAGAGTATCTAATCACTGGTTTAAAGGCACTGTTGGCAGCCCTCAAGTCTTGGTGCTCCAAGAAAGACAGTAATGTTATTTTAAAGGCATTTAAAAGGGTGATAAGAAAGAGAGTGCTTAAATTTTTTTGTTGTTCCTCGCTAAATTACTCAATCAAATTTTATTGTTGATCAATGAAATTAACATTTTTACCAAAAGTCCTATATTAATTGCTTTATATTTTTTATAATTTTCATAAGGAACTCCACGAGGAACCTCCAAATTGCAGCTGTGTGCCTAACATCAATCTAATCAAAGAGTTGCAGAGAGAGCTTAAAAACTTATCCGTTCGTACTGTCATGTTCATTGTTTTTCTAATTTGTTTTGCCACATTGGCTTAGTGCTTTATTTCTTCTTCATCCAAGTAAATCATCGTAATATAGCTGTTTATAATAGTTACTTATATTTTTTGGTAACAGTAATGATTTAATTGAAACTAATTTTTTATAAAATTTCCAGCCAGCCCCGACAAAATCATCCAAAGGAGGATATGTATACGTGCCATACAACACCAAGAAGGATGTAAGTGTAATTTTGCTGCTGCATGCATTGGTGGCAGTGATGATTATGTTGGTGATGATGGTGTTTATGATGGTTGTTTGTCTTGATAATGATGTTTATGGTGATGGTTGTAAGATTGTAAGAGTGAATTGAAAGAAAGTGGAAATATGAATTATATAAACCTGATGATAAAAATTGAAGCATGGCTTTTTTATTTAACACCTACAGCAACAAGATATAAGCAATAGTCAGAACAACAACAGCAGCAACAACAACAGAAACAACAAAGACAGCAACAAAAACAACATCAGCAACAACATCAACATCAATGACAACAGTTCTCAGCTACATAAGTGGCTGACCGAACCAGTGCCTGACTTTTGCAACGCTTACAATAACCACAACAGCAGTCGCAACAGCAACGCCAACGACGGCAAAAATAAAAATATTAATTACATCAACAACGTCAATAACAATAACAGCGTAAATAACAGCAACATCAGTAGTAAAAACTTGAATTTTCATACTGTCATAGAGGGTTCAACAATATCAAAAACATTTATCAACAACAACAACAACAACAACAATATTAATAACATGAACAGCAATAACATTAATAGTAATAACAATTATAATGATTTTGACTTTGAACCTCCTGCTATCAAGGTCAAATTGGCCGGGGGCAAAATAATAAGGTCATTTGATCAATTTATTTTACATTATTTTTTATGAGGCGTTAGTTTTGTGTTTCATTTGATCCCCAACATCCAAAAACATTCAACAGCTGCAACAACATCAACTCCAACAACAACTTTAAACAACAACAACAGTAACACTTGTTGTTATTATTATTACTATGTAGTTGTAATCGTTTTCATCTAGTCATTCTTACGTCATCACCGTAACGATCTTCATCATCATTATGAATTTATCATTGTTACTGTAACATCCACCATTGTTATTAGCGTCATCACTACTAATTATCATCGTGGTTAACATCATCATCGTTGCCACCACTTGCAGCAGAACAGAGTACACCCCTGAGGAGGTAGTGAAGGAGGAAGTTGTAGACAACAGCTCAAAGATGCACTTCAGTGATGGCGACGATGACGACGATGAGAGAAAACTGAGACACCATGATGACGACGATGAAGATGACGATGATGACAACATGTACATAGATGAACGAACGAGAGGTGAGAAAAGAAGAGATCGACAGCAACAAAGATTGCTGACTACGACCGTTAAACCAGCCTCTGTTAAACTCAAGTTGCCTTGTATGTTCCTTTGTTAATGTTATAATGTATTTCTTTGGGCTTATTTGCTAATGTCGTAGATTTTATGTTGTATGTGTTATTTTGTGTGATGAGAGGTTAGATGATGCGTCTCCATAACTTCATACATGAGATGATGTATGAAGTTATGGAGACGCATGAAGCTATGGAATGAAAGGATTCCTTTTCCAGATTCTTCGGATTTTGAAAATCGTTTGAAGATGCCCCTGATAACAGGCGGTTTGAACAGTAGCATATCAGACATCCTTGAGGTCAGTGGCTATGGCACGGAGACCGACATCAAAGTTGATGCACATTTCAGGTTTTTTTTTGTGGCGGGGAAGATGGATTGTGATATGCTCGATGGTGAATTGTTGTGTGGTTGTGGGTAAGGATGAATTGCTTTGAGGCGACGGTGAATTGTTTAGTGGTGAAAGATGAATTGTGATCATCATTATAATGAACAGAGCTTCTCCAACAATGAGAGACGCCATACAAGGCATGTTGTCTATGAGTCAGATGGGCCTCCAACATCCACAAACATCATACAGCAGCAACAACATCAACCACAACAACAACAACAACAACTTCAACAATAATTATGGTAATAACACTGGTAGTTATTTATCAATGCAACAATCTCAGGTTAAGTACTACTCTGATGATATCGAAGAGCAGTTGAACAGCTGTTACAAAGATGATGAATTTGGTTGGTTGGTTGGTTGGTTAAATGAATGAACGAATGGTTGACTAAATGGTTGAATGAATGGTTTATTAATTGAGTGATTGATTGGTTGATTGATTGAATGATTGATTGGTTCATTAATCCAACAGTCTATCCATCCTTGGTGTACTCTGATAGTGAGGATGATAAAATATTCAAAAAATCAAAACCGGATGAGGCTTGGAGTCCCAGAGGAAGTAAGTTGAGATGATGGATGGATGGATCAGATGGATGGATGGATGGATGAGATGATAATTGTGGGACAAAAAATTAAAACCCTTACTCAAATATTAATGACCCGGAATGAATCTATTAGGATTTAACCATAAAACGACGCGGCGATGAATCGATCATAAAGAACAACATGATACATTGGTTTAGTTAATAGAATAATATCTTAAACACAACCAACCAGCAAAATTGAAGAAAAGGCCGTCCAACATTAATAGTCACAGCAGCAAACGCAGCAGCAGCAAGAACGCATGTCGTCCTAAGAGGCAAGGAACGAAGAGAGAAGCTGTGGAAAATAACCTGGCAGAGGCAGCTAAGAAGCTGTCTTCACCGTCATCATCGTCATTATCATTGCATGTACGTTTTCGCTTATTTTGTCATATCATCATGGTGAATGTTTGATATAAAAATAGTGGGGCCAGCGATGATGTTGGATGGTGAAATGATACTAGCAGCGATGATGGAGTTGGTAATACTTTTTTGTTTGTAGAGTATTTTTGTACTGCCATCATTTGACAAATCAGGAAATTACCTTTTTTATTAGCAATATTCATACCAATATTCAAAGCAAACACAACACGTTCGTTATATTTTTAATATAATCGGTAACATGACGACAGTATGGTGACCCGTCAAAATTTGCGCATTTCTTGTTGTACGCTAATATTTTGTCGAGAAATGTGTTGCGATGTTTTACGCCATTTTGTCGATAAACCTAACAGTTTAGATGTAATATATAAAAGTATATAACAAGAACTATATAAGAAGCGAACAATTGACGCAATAAAACCGCTCACTCTTACGCATACACTTGCACACAATAACGACAGGCAAGTGACCAACCATTCCACAATGTGAACAGTCAGAAGATGAAAAAATGGAAGCTGGACATGAACGGTGCCATCTCTGGCTTCCTTAAATCATCCTCAAACTGCAGCATTAGAAATAATAACTATTTCAATAATAATAATAATAATAATAACTATAATAATTACAATAACTATGGTGGCGACAATTACAGTGAAGGTTAATCTACATTTTTAATTATATACATTTTTTGCTTATTAAAAATTATTTATATCCATATTCGTGAAGGTAGTTCACTGTTTTTTTTTAATAAAACGTTACTGAAAAAGCGTGGATTGAAACTTTCAATGTGATTTTTTTCATTCACCAAATTTAAATCCAGATGACGACGATGCAGATGACGACGACGAGGAGAACGGCTATAGTAAAACGTCTTCGTCATTAAAGCAACATAAACAACAACAACAGCAACTACAACGACAGCAACAACGACAACAGTCATCGTTTACATCTTCGCCTGTAAAGTCGGCTCCTTCGTCATCACTGTGGCCTCAAAAATGTAAGATTTTAATTCATTAGATTATGAACTATGTAGTATGCCCAATTGTTGTTGCACATAAATCAGTTTCATGTAGTTGTGGACATTTATCTGTAGGATTCACATCATAATTTTACAAAAAGAATGTTAAAACCGTTATTATTTAATCATTCGAGAGTAATTATTATTACGTAACAAAAATGTTTAAACTCTATTATTTATTCATTCGATATTAATTATTATTACGATCGTGTAGCCGCTTCATCAACCTCCGTATCCTCGTCATCCACATCGAAACCAAAGAAGAACCTAGCGACAACGAAGCAAAGACTTGCCCAGAAATTAAAGCTCCACAAACTCTACAACTACCAATAATGATGTTGAAACGAGTCTTTTACTATATACTTATATATTTACTAATATAATTACTTCATTCATTTACTTTTTTTTGTTTTTTCTTTATTTGTTTTTTAAGTTTGTTTATTTCATAAACTGAGTGAGCACAACGTACTTACTACAAAGACAAAAGTACAAAATCTTTTAACCATATTTAGATAACGTCGCGCAATCAACATTTGTCAATTTGTTAATCATTAACTTGACAACAACGTTATTCTCAAAGAGGAACAATAGTACAATAATGCTGCTGATATGGAATAAGAGTAACAGTAATTGTGATTGTTGTGTTGCTAAACTTTTGTTTATTATTGCCTGTTAGATATTTTGAAGAATTTTTCGTTCAGTTTGAAGTTCTTCCGATTGACCATCAACCTCCTAGTTATATATTTTTTTGGTTTTCTATAATAATATCATCATTGTCTCCATCATGGTTTTCGGTGCTAAGCACCACGAGAGGTTATTTGCAGTCTTATCGTTTACCTGTAATTTTTTTTGTTATTTTGGTAAATTATCATTTGATGAACGCCTCGAACCGAAATTATGGTCACTGTTGTCCAAAGCTAGTACAGTTATTCTATTCCTTCTTAACAATAAACTGATGCGTGTGATTGGGTTGACTTAAGTGTGGCTATTTTTCAAGTTATTTTTTCTTAACCG